CAGAACACAACAGACAAATACAGGCACAATCAGATCCTCTTAACAACCAGCAAGACCAAAGTCTTACAAGCCAAATACCAAAGATACAATACATTGTATTTAGTAAATGGATGATATTAGGGCTGCTACTGACGAAGAATTTCCCTACCGACCAATAGGGCCATAAGTCGACTAGTCACCCGCATGTTTACGATATTAATTTAATTATTAAATGATATATTTTTGGCAGGGCAACGCAGTGGTTTGAGTTGAAGGTGTGAGAAAGAATAGTATCAGTAACATTGTTAACACTGTGCTACATTACAGAGAAATACAAACCGTACTAATGAACCTTCATTAATATAGGCCTATATTTTATCTACAAGTGCACGTCACACACTGAGCGAGCCGCCTGTTAATGACGCTGTGGGCAATGAAGATGAGTTTACATATCACCTTAGGTTCGTCCTTCACCTTCTCAAAATGATCCCACACTTTGGATTTCCTGCCCGGCATGTTATTAACTAGCCTGTGGAATAACCGCAGGTACCAGCCCTGGAAATTAACCTGACTCCTGTCTGACTGCTGAGCGTGGACACTTCCTGTGTCTGTCCTTTCACATTAAATTCCCACATGGTCCAGCCATAAAGGTTTTGATTTAATTTGACAAGGCGCAGCTCCTAATAGAGTTTCACGTTTTGTTTTGTTTTTTCTGCGACTAAGTGACCAATAAAATCTTGCCGAGTAATGACCTCTCTGGTCGACTAATGTTTGATTGACTGTTGAGGGGCAGCTCTAGATTATATGTAGCTGTTGCGTGCTCGCAGAGGAGAAGAGTATTCTTCAGAGACATAGTGGAGTAGAAGCACAGGGGATCTCTAAAGTATTTGAAATTGGTGAATTTCTTAAATAAATGAATTTTGTTTTATTGGCTCTAAATCTGACCTGATTTGTATGTACAGCAGGTCGGGTGATGAGGCTCTTATTTGTTCATTAATTTGCTGCCAGTGTGAGCTGACAAGAGACTAGATGTGATCCATCACATCTAAGGTTTGTAATTAGTCCCCCGGTTAAAAAAACAAGCACATATGAGGAGCTGATTACATGATTAGAAGGCAGATACTCATGCAAATTCTTTTGGTCGACCCGACCGGCTCAGTGTGAGCTCACTCGACAGCAGTGAGCGTGTTCACAATGAGATTTGAGCTGAACTGCAGCCAGCACTGCACAGCTGATGTATATGCGCTCTGCGACCAGCGCTGTAGCCTCTCTGTCACGGGCGACACCCTAAACCGTGGAGCTGAAACACCGCTGTGCCTATACGAGACATCCAGGTCCAGTTTCACAGGAGCAATTGTAACATTCAGGCTTGACCTTTGCCCCAGTTTCTGACTCTCTGCCTGTCTTCCCCTTTGCCCTCTTAACAAGTTTTAACAAGCAGGGGGTTCCTGACCCTTTTGAGCTATGCAGCTGGAGGCTGATCATTTGTGACAACAGCCTGGAGGGAGGTCTGCGAGTCATGATGGTCACTGTGTTGCTGACTGATGATGCATTTGAGTGTGCTTTGTGCCTCCCTCTCTTAAAAAAAACAAGGCAGTGAAATTCCTCAACGGTCTGTTGCAACTGTAAATCTTTACGTCCTTCAGAGCGAACAGTCACATTGTCTTTTAACGTTTCAGACACTTGAGGATGATAAATTATACATGAAGTTCAGCATGCTCGCCTTGCTGGGTGTCCGTCCCCTGCTGGCGTTAGCCTTGTAACGTATTTGTGATTCAGCCATTTGGAAAGTTATTTTGAAGTTTGGTGGGCACCGAAAAGAGACACAAACATCAGACAGGTACACAATCTCCTCAGCTAAACTCTCCTCCTCCTCCCGCAAATGTACTTAGCAGCTGTTTCTGTGGAAGTCACTGGAGAGAGGCTGCATGGAAAAAGGAGTTGAGCCAGCTGGGTGGAGAGCAGTGGGAGGATTTTTTCCACTTCTGTCTGTCTAACAGAGACGGGCTGATTTCTCTCAGAGAGCTATTCATCTTAAGGTGCGTACACTATCGCATACAGTGGCAAGCTGCAACATTTTCAAATGAAAGACACGGGAGACCAAAGATGAAGTTGGGAATTAATTGTTTTTTTGTCACAAAGTTGTTCCTTTTTGTCACAAAGCAAAATAAAATCTGGCATACTGCTGCTAGCATCTTCAAAATTCAGTGTCATTTTAAGCCTGAAAAATTGCAGCTACTCATTGAAATAGAAAATATGTGCTCATACTATTTGACTTGAGCCTCTTTGCCCGTAGCACACCACAGAGCACTTACCGGACATTATTCAACTTCCTCTCTGCCATCTCGGAAAAAAGTGTGTCCTAAAAGTAGAGATGTGTGTCAATGGAAAGTATAAAGTAATGCTCTAGAGCTCATCCCTGCTGCACACCTGGATGGTTCTGGTCCAGTTTTTTCCAGTTGAATCGAACAGTGGGATGATGTCGATGCAGGTGTCTTAAGTGAAAACATAATGGTTCCCCACTTTACTCAAAAATGTGTCTTTTTATTATCTTTATGTTCTCTAAAACATCAGTTGGCTGGCATAGCATCAGGGAGAAGAAAACACTTAAAGAAGAAGCCTAATATGTATGTATGATGATAAAAAAAAGTTAAGAGAATCATGAAAAGTCATCTCTGCTCACGCTCATATTACACAAGTTGTTAATTGTACAGTGCATTCTGTACTGTTATTAATATGCATTGAATATAATATGAATCATCCACAAAATATGTCACATAGTTAAGGATTGTTAGCCTGCTAAATGATAGCAAAGACATCCCTTAAGGAAAAGGTTGTCTGACCTTGACTACACTGACTTGCATCAGTGTTTCCATATTCCTGTACTGAAGGGGGCGATGCATGAAATCCTTCTCTGTCTAATACCGGAAACACATATCGACGGTGGAACAGACTCAACACCGACAAAGAAACATGAAACCGTCAGCGCGAAGCAGACTCCTCAGTACAGAGGGCAGAGTTTGAATTAGCATAGTGAAAGTTATGACAGCATTTCCTAAGCACTAATGCTATCTCAGCCACTGCCCCATAGCCTAGAAGCTAACAAGCTAACAAACAACATTTTGAAACAAAAGATGCTAACTATACTTCTCGTTTTGGTACATCTGCTAGTCCCAGATGTTGGTGCACGACAGATTCCTCAACTGAGTTTGGGTCTAACTGAGGCTTAAACATGTACGGCTGAATCTCTTCAACAGAGAATTGCGGGATAAAGTTTTCTTGTAGGCTGATGCAGAAGAAGTTTGCGGCATGGTGATGTAGTGGTTAGCACTGTCGCCTAGCAGCAAGAGGGTTCCTGGTTTGAACCCAGGGTGGAGGAGCCCTTCTGTGCGGAGTTTGCATGTTCTCCCCGTGTCAGTGTGGGTTTCCTCCAGGTACTCCAGCTTCCTCCCACAGTCCAAAGACATGCAGGTTAATTGGTGATGGTGGTGTCAGCTGGGATAGGCTCCAGCCCCCACACAACCCTCAGGAGGATAAATGGTTACGGAAAAAATGAATGAATGAATAATGCAGAAGTTAGCGCTGCCCTGGCTCCCTCGCCAAAAGGTTTTGTTTTGTTATTTTATATTGCAGCTCGGGTTATTCCAGAAAGTTCTGTGGCAAATAAACCTCTTTGATACTTCCATGGGTTTTTTTTAGACTTTATTTTAATTATTCCATTCAAAGGAAAAGGTGCAGAGTAACAGTTGACGTGTCCCACCCTGAACCCTCCCTTCCCTCCCTTCCAAGGTCGAAATATATACATGTACATTAAAATAGTAAAGTTTAAGTCTTCTGTTTCCACAGTCTAGCAAAGACTAGTAAATTGATCGTACATACCAATATACAGAACAAAACAACCAACACACAAAAAAAAAAACCAAGAACAAAAAAAACGTGTGAGATGTTTACAAGGTGGTCAGATTGTAAATTCTCTTCTTTAATGTCTCACACGTTTTGTTCAGCAAGATAATCCTCACAAGTTAACACCACTTTTATGATTTTGAAGCCTAAATGCAGTCACCAGAGGTAAAAAGCTAACATTAGGCTGTAAACAAACAGTTGCATGACTTAACATGGCCACCACATCGAGGCTGTAAAGCCATGTTCGGCTTACTGACGTTCTGTAGTCTCATTTAACAACAGCTTCAGAATTCATGAGTGGGGTATTTACTGATGTTTTGTCAACCACAGACCTTATTGTGGGCATCTAACCAAAAACCCATTGACTTTGAGACGAGGGAAGTCTAACTCATAAATGGGTTTTAGGACTCATTCTTTGGGCACTATGTTTCTTTTCACACCAAAGCTAGCCATCTTGACACGCACTGCTTTTTCACCAGACAACCTAATGTGAGCAGCGCTGGAGAAAGCGCAAAGCACAATTTACTGCAAATTTCTCAATGGAGTAGAAAGAGTAGATCTGCCTCCAGCCCCTTTACAGAGTTTTCTCTCTCTTATTGTGTGGAAAACTGAATATTGGTATTTGTATAACTTCAAAACATCAGTCTGAAGAGGGACTTATCTTTGAATTCAGACTTGTGTGAATTTTGCTAGTGGGTATCATTCATGCCTGTGCAAAAACCTGCCAATATCCTCTGTTAGATGAAACAGTTGTAAAGATTTATTTATGTGGTGGAGTGAATGTGCATTAATAAAAAAAGGACATGCACTCATTCAGCAAGAGGTTAACACAAGTTTTATAACAGACAATGTGGAGAAGAAAAAAAGGAATGTAACATCTGATAAAGTTGCTATGATACTGAGCAGCTCTGTTCTGGTTGTGCAGCGTTTGTTTGTTAAACAGAGCAGCGACAGGACAGGACAAAGACAGACTGTTGGGTGGAAAAGCTTCATGTTGATGCATTGCAGACACACGGCTTATTTCTTGTCAGACAAACAAAACCCGAACAGAAACCACTGTATGCATGTAAATCTCCGCTTAGATGACATTCCTTCCGTGTCCTCTTTTTTCGTTTCAGAGCGTTATTACTGGGACTCCAAACTGCACATTCCCACGGCTGACTACCAGGAAGTCCTCCATGACGATAAGGCGGCGCTGGCCTGGCTCTTGGCCCTGCGTCGGGTTGGCATCGTATACCTGAAGGGGGCTCCGGCAGAGCAAGGCCAAGTGGCGAGACTTGCTGAGAGGATTGGCTATCTCAGGCTGACATTCTATGGGTAAGACTCTCTGACGTTCATCCGTTTTTCTCTTGTCCTCAGCCAAGCCACTGTTTAATAATCTGACTCCCCACTAAATCTTGAACTGCTGAATTTTCCACTGATCATGTTTTAGCTGGAGCAGAGCCCAGAGAGTGTTATTAGTAAAAATTAAGTACAAAAGAGCTTTTATTTACATCCTTTTTCCAGGGAATCGGGGAAAAAATCAGCTAGATATTCTGATGAAAGAAGTTCTCAGATTCTCACTTTACAACATTAATGTTTAGGAAAATGTGTCCACTAGTCAATTATATGTAGCTTTGGTTCATTTTGTTTCCATGGAGAAGCTTACAGAGAGTGTGTTGGCCCTTTCATCACACCAGAGTTCATCATTTTGACTTACTGCACTGCTGATTACTTGAGGACAGAGACGGAGAAAACAACCTAAGAGCATTCCAGCTTTTTTAAGCCAGAGGAATTACCTGGTGCACTCAGTCAGAACAGAGGTTTGGAGCGTAAAGCTTTTCCACTGCCAGCGGATGAGCTCATACTGCTGGAAGTAAAGACACTGCAGACTAAAGCTGAAGTCCTGCCATCAGAGAAACTAGACCGTTTTACGAGTCGGGCATCCAAACGAGGCATGCAAACAGAACATGGAAGATAACTTTACCTCATTAGTGCTCGACTCCTTCTGCATCTAAATGAAGTATCTACTTCAGAGACTACAGACTAAGCATTCCTGCGCTGCTGCCCAGTTCCCCCCTCAGGGATCCCTGCAAAGTTCATGTCATCTCATCTTTTTCTCCACACAGCCTAATTGTCGCTGCTTATCTTCCAAATCCATAGTTAAATAATTAACATGGAGTTTATTAATGAATGTTATCTCCGTCTCCAGGCACACATGGCAGGTCCAGGATAAATACATGGCAAACAATGTGGCCTACACTTCAGGAAGGCTCAGTCTCCATACAGACTACCCTGCATTGCACTTTGCACCTGGAGTGAGTAAAATCTGACTTATACAGTCTATTTATGAGGATCAAGCTGCACTCAACAGATATGGTATCACTTATGCATTTATGTGCTGCTTTTATAAGTTTGTTTCAACTGCTGGCATTTGGCTTTCGTGCTGCAAGAGTTGTAAAACGGGCATTTGTGCGGCATGTGTGTGCTGTAGGTGCAGTTTCTGCACTGCATCAACCAGGCCGAGGAGGGAGGGGAGAGCGAGGTGGTGGACGGCTTCCACATGGCCGAGCTGCTGCAGAGAGAAGACCCAGAGGCCTTCAGGGTGCTCACCTCGCTCCATGTGGACTTCACCGACACGGGGACGGACTACTGTGACTTCATGCTGCAGTCCAAGAAGTGCATCATCGAGTAAGTGGAGATGAGCTGTCAGATAACCTGTTGTTGTTTTAATTCTCACACACATACACACACGTACCATCTCTGAGTGAAGCAAAGATCAGACCTCGCTAAAATTGTATTGACTTGCATTTTAAGAGAAATATGCAGTGGAGTTTGTGTTTGTGATTTGAAATGGGACACTGCCATCTGCTGTTCAGAAGTATTATGTCCAAACCATGAAGAGTGTTATATCTGCAGAATCATAATCACTATGTTGGAATTAGATGTTCAGCATCCACATTTGGGTGTAATGTTCATGTCCATATACTTTTGGCCACCTAGTTTGCCTTGAGCATTGATGTGATCAAATATAATCTTTTCAACTAATCATGCCCTTGTAATAAATTATGCCTTTCAAATATTTTATGGGCAAAAGGCAGGAATCAAATTAATATTTTCAGTAGTTTAATCAGGCAACAGAAAAATGATCTGCAACAGTTTTGTTAATTCATAGTATGAGTAGATATTTTAAAAAGAAATGCATAAAACTATTGTTTGAGCTTCTTAAATGTAGGGATGTTAAACTTCATCGTCTTGTCTAAAATTAAAAAAACACTTAAAATTAATGATTTATGAGGTTAAAAATTGTCTAGAAAAGATTTTGTTTATTATAAGAGTAATCTGATGTTGTTAATCACATTTCTCATTAACCAAATCATCTTTTAAATGCCATGGAAATGTGCAGCACATCATCATAACATTGCATGTTATCTAACAAAACATGACGACTCACCAAACAAAAGTTACCAAAAAAGATTTATTGAATACAAAATTTTTTAGGAAAATAAATCTTTAGGAAATAACGACATTTTCATTGAGTGAACGCAATCACTTAAAATAATAATAATTTTAATAATAAGTTTAACCCACTAGTATTTCTGGTACCAACAAATGAGGGTAGCAATGTTCAAACAGTTAGTCGTGCACATCGCTACTCGAAAGTGAATATTTAAGTACACCTCTGTGATATTAAACTGTGTATCTTTTATTTTGGACATTAAACAAATTACCTCAGTTTCTTTCTCAATATTTTCTGACACTTAATGTACCAAATGAAGATTATACCACAGTACTTCTACTACTACTGATAATGATGATAATAATAATAATAATAATAATAATAATAACAATGATAATAAATATTTTATAAAAGTAATCCTTAGTTGCAGCCTTACAAGTGAGTTTCACATGTTTGCTTGATATTTGCCTTCAGTGATTTATCAGTTATCACAGTTGTTGCCATTTCATTTTTTGTTAAGCATCTCATAAATCAACAACTTTTTTCAGCTCAAAACTGATGAGTCATGTTATTTAGTCTTTGTCCTTCCTCCTCTCTGAGCAGCGTTAATCCCGAGGGTCGAGTTCTGAGGATAAACTACAACAACGCCACCAGAGATTCGGTGCTGGACGTCCCCCTGCATCAGGTGCAGCCCTTCTACAGAGCACTGAGGGCCTATGTGGACATCATGAACCGACCAGAGAACGTGGTCACTTACATCATGAACCCAGGTCAGTGTGCGCCTCTCAAAACTTCCCCAATAGGGCATAACAAATATGACAAAAACATATCTGTAAAGCCCTCAAATCACAGTTAAGAATACCAAAACTCTGTAGTAGACAGAACATGAACTGATAACAGTGATGAACAGCAACATCTTTGTCATTATCAAGGTCACAGTGACATCTGAGTCGTCTATGTCACTGTGACCCGAATCAAATTACCTCAAAGTGTGGTGTGACCCACTCTAAATAATCACTGCTCAGCACACAGTCTGCAGCATCAAGCGACAGACTTGATGTGACAATATTGTACAAGACATTAAGGACAACAAAGTGTAGCAGGATGGTGCCATTAGTAGGGAGACGGCGTATCGACAGCAGCATTCAGGGCTCGAGCCTCCATGTTGAAAAGCATCCATCCTGATGATGCGTCCTTGAGATACTTCAAACAAGTTTGTCGTTGTTCCCTAACTAGTGCCAGCCTTACACCAAAGAACTTTTCAAAAAATTTCACTGTTGGACACTGTGACTGTCACTGGTAAACCACAACTAATTCAGCACTTCAGGGGCCATCTCAGCTGTACTGTCCATGTTTTTAACAAAATTTTTTATACGTGCTATACTGTGACATTTTTTATGAAATTTGCATTGCATGCTGTACCAATAAATATTTTAGGATATTCAAATGGCATGCTGTACTATGACATTTTTAAAAGAAAAAAACTATTTATCACACAGAGTAGTGTTACATTGTTTTGGGAAAAACATCATTACATAGTATGTCATAAAAAATTCATGAAAGATGTCATAGGATAGTATACCCTCAAAATGTAATTAAGAAAAGTCATTGTATAGTATTTCATAAAAATAAGAATGTCGTGGTATAATATGCTTAAAAAAATCTAAAATGTCAAAGCATGGTATGATGTAAAAATACCATAACAAATGTCATAGAATACTGTGACATGAAAATATTATTAAAAAAAGTCATATTATAGTGTGTTGACAGAAATATAATATTAATGATAATAATAAACTTTATTTATATAGCACTTACACATAGCACATAAAAGACATGCAGCACATCATAGTATAGTATGATGTAGAAAAAAATCAAGAAAAACACTGTAATATACTATGTCATGAAAAAATCATGAAAAACGTCATACTATAGTATGTCGTGAAAAAATCATGAAAAACGTCATAGTATAATTTGTTGTGAAGAAATCATGAAAAACGTCATAGTATAGTATGTCGTAAAAAAAAATCATGAAAAACGTCACAGTATAGTATGTCGTGAAGAAATCATGAAAAACGTCATAGTATAGTTTGTTGTGAAAAAATCACAAAAAACGTCATAGTATAGTATGACATGAAAAAATCATGAAAAACGTCATAGTATAGTATGTCGTAAAAAAATCATGAAAAACGTCATAGTATAGTATGACATGAAAAAATCAGGAAAAACGTCATAGTATAGTATGTCGTTAAAAAATCACAAAAAACGTCATAGTATAGTATGTCATAAAAAAAATCACGAAAAACATCATAGTATAGTATGTCGTGAAAAAATCCAGAAAAACTTCTTAGTATAGTATGTCGTAAAAAAATCACGAAAAAAGTCATAGTATAGTATGACAGGAAAAAATCATGAAAAACGTCATAGTATAGTATGTTGTAAAAAAAATCATGAAAAACATCATAGTATAGTATGATGTGAAAAAATCACGAAAAATGTCATAGTATAGTATGTCGTGAAAAAATCCTGAAAAACGTCATAGTATAGTATGTCGTGAAAAAATCATGAAAAACGTCAGTATAGTATGAGGTGAAAAAATCATGAAAAACGTCATGGTATAGTATGAGGTGAAAAAATCATGAAAAACGTCATAGTATAGTATGAGGTGAAAAAATCATGAAAAACTTCATAGTATAGTATGTCGTGAAAAAATCAAGAAAAACGTCATAGTATAGTATGACATGAAAAAATCAGGAAAAACGTCATAGTATAGCATGTCGTTAAAAAATCACAAAAAACGTTAAAGTATAGTATGTTGTAAAAAAAAATCATGAAAAACATCATAGTATACTATGATGTGAAAAAAATCATGAAAAACGTCATAGTATAGTATGTCGTAAAAAAAAATCACGAAAAACGTCATAGTATAGTATGTCGTGAAAAAATCCTGCAAAACATCATAGTATAGTATGACGTGAAAAAATCATGAAAAACTCATAGTATAGTATGACGTGAAAAAATCATGAAAAACGTCATAGTATAGTATGACGTTAAAAAATCATGAAAAACGTCATAGTATAGTATGTCGTGAAAAACTTCATAGTATAGTATGTCATAAAAAAATCATGAAAAATGTCAGTATAGTATGTCGTGAAAAACTTCATAGTATAGTATGTTGTAAAAAAATCATGAAAAAAGTCATAGTATAGTATGACATGAAAAAATCATGAAAAACGTCATAGTATAGTATGTCGTGAAAAAATCCTGCAAAACATCATAGTATAGTATGACGTAAAAAAATCACGAAAAAACTCATAGTATAGTATGACGTGAAAAAATCATGAAAAACGTCATAGTATAGTATGACGTTAAAAAATCATGAAAAACGTCATAGTATAGTATGTCGTGAAAAACTTCATAGTATAGTATGTCATAAAAAAATCATGAAAAATGTCAGTATAGTATGTCGTGAAAAACTTCATAGTATAGTATGTTGTAAAAAAATCATGAAAAAAGTCATAGTATAGTATGACGTTAAAAAATCATGACAAACGTCATAGTATATAGTGTGTCGTAAAAAAAATCACAAAAAACGTCATAGTAGAGTATGACGTGAAAAAATCATGAAAAACGTCATAGTATAGTATGACGTGAAAAAATCATGAAAAACGTCATAGTATAGTATGTCGTGAAAAACTTCATAGTGTAGTATGTCGTGAAAAAATCATGAAAAACTTCATAGTATAGTATGTCTTGAAAAACTTCATAGTATAGTATGTCGTGAAAAAATCATGAAAAACTTCATAGTATAGTATGTCGTGAAAAAATCATGAAAAATATCATAGTATAGTATGACATTAAAGTATCAAAAAAAAAACGTTATGGTATAGTATGACAAAAAATAAAGAAAACATAATATTGAGAAATTTTATTAATATCGCATCTTACATACAAGAAATGCAGCACAAAGTGTTTTACATTTCACATGACAATAGACATTATGGACATAAAACAGTCGGGTCCATGTCATTGGTTCGACATCCCATTAGTCCGACTGTCCGCGATGCTGAACGGCTCGTGGCGGGCGTATGGTGAGCCGCGACTGGCTTGAGGTGGAGCAGGCTCACGGCTTATGTGTTTGTCACTTTCTTTTTCATTTTAACCCACACCATGATCTTTTCCTGACCCTAACCAAGAGGTTTTTGTGCCTAAACCTAACCAGACCTTAACCACAGGGCATCATGATGATTTCGGAACGGACTTCGGAACAATGAGTTTAATATGGTTGGAACAATGGGATGTCAGACCAATGGGCTGTCGAACCAATGAGCAGTTCCCAAACAGACAAGGCAATTCAGTATAAAGGGACATTTTAAAACATCTAAAACATGGATAAACTAATTGATAAAACCACAGAGTTCCAAAACTATCTAATCATAAAATCAAGTAAGATTTTTAAAGAGTTGCAGCAGCATGAAGCATAAATAGAAAGTAAAAGCATCAAAAGAGTTTCGGACCTGTATCAGGAAAGTCAGAGCTAGTTAAAGGCTAAAGTGAACACATACATTTTTAGCTTTCTTTTAAAAATATGTAGTGAGCTTGCTTCACTGATATTTAAAGTTAGGTGCGTTCCATAGGATGGGGTGTAATTGATAAAGGCTGCATCCATGATATTCTTCTGGCTGTCGCTGGGAACCTCCAATAAACCAGCAGCACATGATCACAGTGTTCTTGGAGGCAAACCGTTAACAAAGAAGTTAGCAATGTAGCTCTGTCCCAGCCCATGTGGGACTGTGTATACAAGGACAAGGTCCTTAACATCAAAGGAGGATAAAAGGACCTAAAAATATCATGAATAACTTCATTGTGTAGTATGTCACAACAATATCATAAAACACATAATGGTATAGTTTGTCACAAAAATATAATAAAAAAAAGTCACAGAATAGTTTGTCATGAAAGTATCATAAAAAAACGTAAAAAAGAAAAACGTCATAGTATAGTATGTCGTGAAAAAATCATGAAAAACGTCATAGTATAGTATGTTGTAAAAAAAATCACGAAAAACGTCATGGTATAGTATGAGGTGAAAAAATCATGAAAAACGTTACAGTATAGTATGTCGTGAAAAAATCATGAAAAACGTTACAGTATAGTATGTCGTGAAAAAATCATGAAAAACGTCAGTATAGTATGAGGTGAAAAAATCATGAAAAACGTCATAGTATAGTATGTCGTGAAAAAATCATGAAAAACGTCATAGTATAGTATGTCGTGAAAAAATCATGAAAAACGTCAGTATAGTATGTCGTGAAAAAATCATGAAAAACGTTACAGTATAGTATGTCGTGAAAAAATCATGAAAAACGTCAGTATAGTATGAGGTGAAAAAATCATGAAAAACGTCATAGTATAGTATGTCGTGAAAAAATCATGAAAAACGTCATAGTATAGTATGTCGTGAAAAAATCATGAAAAACGTCAGTATAGTATGTCGTGAAAAAATCATGAAAAACGTTACAGTATAGTATGTCGTGAAAAAATCATGAAAAACGTCAGTATAGTATGAGGTGAAAAAATCATGAAAAACGTCATAGTATAGTATGTCGTGAAAAAATCATGAAAAACGTCATAGTATAGTATGTCGTGAAAAAATCATGAAAAACGTCAGTATAGTATGTCGTGAAAAAATCATGAAAAACGTTACAGTATAGTATGTCGTGAAAAAATCATGAAAAACGTCAGTATAGTATGAGGTGAAAAAATCATGAAAAACGTCATAGTATAGTATGTCGTGAAAAAATCATGAAAAACGTCATAGTATAGTATGTCGTGAAAAAATCATGAAAAACGTCAGTATAGTATGTCGTGAAAAAATCATGAAAAACGTCATAGTATAGTATGTCATGAAAAAATCATGAAAAACGTCAGTATAGTATGTCGTGAAAAAATCCTGAAAAACTTCATAGTATGACGTAAAAAAATCATGAAAAACGTCATAGTATAGTATGTCGTGAAAAAATCATGAAAAACGTCATAGTATGTTGTAAAAAAAATCACGAAAAACGTCATAGTATAGTATGTTGTAAAAAAAATCACGAAAAACGTCATAGTATAGTATGATGTGAGAAAATCATGAAAAACGTCATAGTATAGTATGTCGTAAAAAAATCATGAAAAACGTCATAGTATAGTATGTCGTAAAATAATCATGAAAAACGTCATAGTATGTCGTAAAAAAAATCACGAAAAACGTCATAGTATAGTGATGTGAAAAAATCATGAAAAACGTCATAGTATAGTATGTCGTGAAAAAATCATGAAAAACTTCATAGTATAGTATGTTGTGAAAAAATGAAAAACGTCATAGTATAGTATGTCGTAAAAAAATCATGAAAAACGTCATAGTATGTTATGTCGTGAAAAAATCATGAAAAACGTCAGTATAGTATGTCGTGAAAAAATCCTGAAAAACGTCATAGTATAGTATGACATGAAAAAATCATGAAAAACGTCAGTATAGTATGTCGTGAAAAAATCCTGAAAAACTTCATAGTATGACGTAAAAAAATCATGAAAAACGTCATAGTATAGTATGTCGTGAAAAAATCATGAAAAACGTCATAGTATGTTGTAAAAAAAATCACGAAAAACGTCATAGTATAGTATGTTGTAAAAAAAATCACGAAAAACGTCATAGTATAGTATGATGTGAGAAAATCATGAAAAACGTCATAGTATAGTATGTCGTAAAAAAATCATGAAAAACGTCATAGTATAGTATGTCGTAAAATAATCATGAAAAACGTCATAGTATGTCGTAAAAAAAATCACGAAAAACGTCATAGTATAGTGATGTGAAAAAATCATGAAAAACGTCATAGTATAGTATGTCGTGAAAAAATCATGAAAAACTTCATAGTATAGTATGTTGTGAAAAAATGAAAAACGTCATAGTATAGTATGTCGTAAAAAAATCATGAAAAACGTCATAGTATGTTATGTCGTAAAATAATCATGAAAAACGTCATAGTATGTCGTAAAAAAAATCACGAAAAACGTCATAGTATAGTGATGTGAAAAAATCATGAAAAACGTCATAGTATAGTATGTCGTGAAAAAATCATGAAAAACTTCATAGTATAGTATGTTGTGAAAAAATGAAAAACGTCATAGTATAGTATGTCGTAAAAAAATCATGAAAAACGTCATAGTATGTTATGTCGTGAAAAAATCATGAAAAACGTCAGTATAGTATGTCGTGAAAAAATCCTGAAAAACGTCATAGTATAGTATGACATGAAAAAATCATGAAAAACGTCAGTATAGTATGTCGTGAAAAAATCCTGAAAAACTTCATAGTATGACGTAAAAAAATCATGAAAAACGTCATAGTATAGTATGTCGTGAAAAAATCATGAAAAACGTCATAGTATGTTGTAAAAAAAATCACGAAAAACGTCATAGTATAGTATGTTGTAAAAAAAATCACGAAAAACGTCATAGTATAGTATGATGTGAGAAAATCATGAAAAACGTCATAGTATAGTATGTCGTAAAAAAATCATGAAAAACGTCATAGTATAGTATGTCGTAAAATAATCATGAAAAACGTCATAGTATGTCGTAAAAAAAATCACGAAAAACGTCATAGTATAGTGATGTGAAAAAATCATGAAAAACGTCATAGTATAGTATGTCGTGAAAAAATCATGAAAAACTTCATAGTATAGTATGTTGTGAAAAAATGAAAAACGTCATAGTATAGTATGTCGTAAAAAAATCATGAAAAACGTCATAGTATGTCGTAAAAAAAATCACGAAAAACGTCATAGTATAGTGATGTGAAAAAATCATGAAAAACGTCATAGTATAGTATGTCGTGAAAAAATCATGAAAAACTTCATAGTATAGTATGTTGTGAAAAAATGAAAAACGTCATAGTATAGTATGTCGTAAAAAAATCATGAAAAACGTCATAGTATGTCGTAAAAAAAAAATCACGAAAAACGTCATAGTATAGTATGACGTGAAAAAATCATGAAAAACGTCATAGTATAGTATGTCGTGAAAAAATCATGAAAAACGTCATAGTATGTTGTAAAAAAAATCACGAAAAACGTCATAGTATAGTATGTTGTAAAAAAAATCACGAAAAACGTCATAGTATAGTATGATGTGAGAAAATCATGAAAAACGTCATAGTATAGTATGTCGTAAAAAAATCATGAAAAACGTCATAGTATAGTATGTCGTAAAATAATCATGAAAAACGTCATAGTATGTCGTAAAAAAAATCACGAAAAACGTCATAGTATAGTGATGTGAAAAAATCATGAAAAACGTCATAGTATAGTATGTCGTGAAAAAATCATGAAAAACTTCATAGTATAGTATGTTGTGAAAAAATGAAAAACGTCATAGTATAGTATGTCGTAAAAAAATCATGAAAAACGTCATAGTATGTCGTAAAAAAAAAATCACGAAAAACGTCATAGTATAGTATGACGTGAAAAAATCATGAAAAACGTCATAGTATAGTATGTCGTGAAAAAATCATGAAAAACGTCATAGTATAGTATGTCGTAAAAAAATCATGAAAAACGTCATAGTATAGTATGTCGTGAAAAAATCATGAAAAACGTCATAGTATAGTATGTCGTGAAAAAATCATGAAAAACGTCATAGTATGTCGTAAAAAAAATCACGAAAAACGTCATAGTATAGTATGACATGAAAAAATCATGAAAAACGTCAGTATAGTATGAGGTGAAAAAATCATGAAAAACGTCATAGTATGTCGTAAAAAAAATCACGAAAAACGTCATAGTATAGTATGACATGAAAAAATCATGAAAAACGTCAGTATAGTATGAGGTGAAAAAATCATGAAAAACGTCATAGTATAGTATGACATGAAAAAATCATGAAAAACGTCATAGTATAGTATGTCGTGAAAAAATCATGAAAAACGTCATAGTATAGTATGTCGTGAAAAAATCATGAAAAACGTCAGTATAGTATGTCGTGAAAAAATCCTGAAAAACGTCATAGTATAGTATGACATGAAAAAATCATGAAAAACGTCAGTATAGTATGTCGTGAAAAAATCCTGAAAAACTTCATAGTATGACGTAAAAAAATCATGAAAAACGTCATAGTATAGTATGTCGTGAAAAAATCATGAAAAACGTCATAGTATGTTGTAAAAAAAATCACGAAAAACGTCATAGTATAGTATGTTGTAAAAAAAATCACGAAAAACGTCATAGTATAGTATGATGTGAGAAAATCATGAAAAACGTCATAGTATAGTATGTCGTAAAAAAAATCATGAAAAACGTCATAGTATAGTATGTCGTAAAATAATCATGAAAAACGTCATAGTATGTCGTAAAAAAAATCACGAAAAACGTCATAGTATAGTGATGTGAAAAAATCATGAAAAACGTCATAGTATAGTATGTCGTGAAAAAATCATGAAAAACTTCATAGTATAGTATGTTGTGAAAAAATGAAAAACGTCATAGTATAGTATGTCGTAAAAAAATCATGAAAAACGTCATAGTATAGTATGTCGTGAAAAAATCCTGAAAAACTTCATAGTATAGTATGTCGTGAAAAAATCATGAAAAACGTCATAGTATAGTATGTTGTGAAAAAATGTCATAATCGAGCATCATAACTTTGTACCTGATCTATGGGTGTTGTCTTGTTTCAGGCGACATCGTGACCTTTGATAACTGGCGCCTGCTGCACGGACGGAGGCCGTACATCAGCAGCCCTGACAGGTTGCGACACCTTGAGGGAGCCTACCTGGACTGGGATGAAGTCATGTCTCGCCTCCGGATACTGCGTAGCTCGGTCCACGGGAACATTTAAGCTCCACAGCCAAATTTAAAAAGCTGGAATGAAAACAGTGCTGGGTGGCTTGAGACTGTGAGCTCAGCTAGATGTTGCTCTTAAAGCGCTGAGGGCGGAGTGCAAAGATACTGACGTGTCTGACAACAGGTCGAGAGCTCAGTCTCTGGCTCTGAAGGAGTCAGGCATGAAATCATGAATTAAGCAACAATAATTTACTTTCCAATATCTGCAAACTTTAAATGATGACAGAAACTTCTCAAACATGTAACTTAAAGCAACACTTCAATGCAATGATTATTATTATTTACGACACCTTGCTTTTAAATTAAAAAGGTGGTTTGTATTCAGTCATAGTGACAAATTTTATAAGCTTAAATTTAATGAAATGGGTTTTATACATTTTCTGAAAATGCCACATTGTGTTTATATTATGTAATGTATGAGTTTTTAAAGCAGGTTCATTATTCTCAGTTCTCGATCTGGCTGCTTGAGATGACTCCCTGTTGACTGTCTAACAGCTATAATCACGTCTGACATTTGGTTTGATGATGATATCTGATGGCATTAGAGCTCACTGCAGTGTATAGTAAAGTGCTGAGTGTGTGTATATAGAGAGCAGTGAACATGGGAGTGATTTCACACAGAGCCCTCATGTCAAAGTTTCTTCTTCTTATCTCCTACTACAGTACTGTGCTACCTCTGCTGTTCAACCCTGTGCCTCCTGCCTACACACAGTGTGGTGTCCTTGACTCTTCCTTCATTCTGTAGAATTCTGTTCGCAGTATGTATGTTGTTCGAAGTATCTGTTAATTTAAAGGGTCAGTTGAACAGAATTACAAAGACACGTCTGCTTCTCTGCTTAACACAAAGTTTGGGATTCAGTCGCTGCCCACTGAAAACCAGATCAACTAAAGGAGCCCATTGAACCAGCTACAGTCCACACTGAGGGAAAAGACTAAGTTGTGTTGATGTTTGGGTGCACCACAGCGACCTAAGGTTTATCGGAGCTACTCTTGGTATTAGGTCTACACACACTGAGGATGTTTCCATGCACTAAATATTCAGTTTTTTGCCCTGATTCTCAAAGTGAAAGTATTCATCTATGCTGTTAACATGGGGAATAACAATGAATATTCCACTAACGTTCTTGTTAGCCGTGCACACACTGATTAACGAGCCCTATCATGACATTTGTTGCGTCAAAATATTAAAAAGTAGAACACAGACACACTTGCAAACCGTTGGTTATTTAGTGTATAATGTATCCATGACAACACACAGAGCCTACTGTAAACAGGCAAGAGGCCGTAAACTGCTGTAAATCCCCAAGTGTGCCGTGAACATGCCCAAAGAAGGCACCTAAAACTGGCATATCCCATGTCTGAATTTGGAATATCTGAATTTATAATGCTGTTTACATGACCTGTATCAATTTTGGAATATTATCATATTCGGACTTATAGTGGAAAATTAATGTGCATGTAAACACACTCACTGTGGCAGAAAAAGACATTTTCACTTCCTGTGGTCGATTTCTGAAAATATCTGTCTAAAACACAAAGGTAGGCGAATTACCTACAGACGATTAATGTCAGAAATGACCCCTCAAACTAGGCTTCATTTAAACTTACCCACAGCTGGTGCGTCTCAGTGCTGAGTCATGCTGCCTGGGTCCAAATGTTTGCACCCGCCTGCTACACTGACCTGAGTCATTAGTTTGGTACCATGACGATCCAATGGACTGCGCAGGGGACTAACGCCATCAAGCAGTGAGACGAGACGCATCAGTTTGGACTTAACTCTTTGAAACCTGAGCACACTGGCTTGATTTCATTCAAAAACATTGTAAGAAGGCAACAAGCAACCAAAGAAGAAATGACCCAATAAAATAGCAAGAAAGTAGGAAAAAGAGAAAATTAAAAACATTTGTTTAAAAAAAAAAAAAAAAGAAAAAAGTTCACAACAAACAAGAAAACAAGGAAATGACGTGGAAAGTTAATTAAAATAATCATGTCCTATAATTTTAAAGTGTAATTATAATAATAATAATAATAATAATTATTTATTAGTTTTTCTCTAGCTTTTTTTTCTTTTTTCCCCCCTATTTTTTTTAATTATTTTTTTAAATCTTTTTTTTTTCCTTTTCTGAAATTTGAGGGACATGAGAGGCATGAAGGCAATGAGCTACAAAAGTGGGAATGACCCCCCCAAAATGGCAAGAAATTAGTAAAAAGAGAAAATTAAAACCAAGAAAATTTGAAAAAAATAAATATAGTTTTCCCCTAGCTTTTTAAAATAATCTTCTAAATCTACTATTTTTTTTTTTGCAATTTATGGAATATCTCTTATCAAGTTGTTTGTTGCATTTTTCCCATATTTTTTTAAAAGGAATTGCACAAATTAGCTCAGCCTTTTAAGGTTTAAATATTCACAAAAGCTGTCTGAAAGCAGCACAAGGAAAAAAAAAAAAAAAAAAAAAAAAAAAAAAGTTGATGTCCCTCCAGGTTTCAAAGGGTTAAAATGATGTAAGATTCAGGCGGATACATTGGTATAAAAGGCCTGAAAGTGGACGTTTAAGTGGACGTAATGTGAGACTGAAGATGGAAACGGAGTGTAACAAGTTGGCAGTTCTGTCTGAAATGCAGTCATTTAAAAAAAGTATCCTAACGTCATTTTCAGCGGACAGTGACAAAACATTTTTGGAACTCCTGCATACACCTGAATATTATCGATGGTGCACAAAGAATTGAAAAATCACACTCCAAAAACTAAACAGCGACTCGTCTTTTCAGAAATGACGCTCAGATTATCTGGATGATCCACAGATCTCACTACTTTTTACCAAACAAAAAAAGTTCCTGGTAAAACTATTGGCGGGTTCTATGGATTATCCAGAGTAACAGGAAGTTGTCAAGCAGCACACATTAAATCAAAAAAAAAGCATCCAAAATCCCAAACTATCTCCATGGATACAGGGTTAAGTGATGAGTAAGTCTTTGTAATTGCAGTAAACTGATCCTTTAAATCCCCATGAACTGTTTCTATGATGTCATCAAGCAGCACAATGTGCTCATTTTTCCACACGGCCAGTTTGTGATTGATTTGCTCCAATCTGCTGTTACTGAAAAACAATTTGCATTTTCTTCTTCTCTCCCACCTTATTTAATTGGTATGTAACCTAAAAACAGACATTATGAATGTACTTCCTGATGCAGAAACAATCAGGCTCAGAGGTGCTCACGGTGATGAGCCTGATTAAACTTAGCTCTGATCGGTTTTGCATTTTGCATATTTAATAATAAAGTTCCTCCAGTCTTAAATCTTTGAATGGTTGTTAGGTGTTTTTTTTCTCCATAAAAGGACGATGAACTTCGCTGAGCTTTATTTGCGATAACTTTATTATATTGCCAAAGCTGTACATATTCTATAAATACTTTTTCAAATACTGGAATACTTACACCTGGCATCTCATTTCATTTATTCCCTCTGGTTACAGCAGCCGGCTCGCACAATGACAGAGATGAGTTGCAATACTCCAGTTTAAAAAAATGTCCTTTTTAACTCAAGCATAAAGAGCTGTGTCCCGTCCCCAGACCCATTCAGAGATGCTTCAGATGGAGTTGTGCACCGTCTGAACATCCTGCTCATTGTTTCCCTCCACACAGTTAAATCACTAAAAAATTACAAGCATGTCAGAATCAAAAAGAAACATCTTCCAGTGATATAGCTGTACCGATATATTGCTCATCTGGAGAAACTGTTCACCACACGGACGCACAAGCACACACAAACCCACACACACGCACGCTCACTGTGAAATTTACGGGGCCGGCGACCGGACCAACTGTTCTTTACGATCACAGAACAGACACAATGTAAGACTGGATCTCCTCTGGGAGCAGGTGACCACAGCTGTTAGGCTTCAACACAGCTCAACGACCAATCACAGGGCGGAAAACTGCTGCTGCTGCTGCTGCTGCTGCGTTCGGAGGGTTTTGTACGTTTGTCACAGCCCAGTCTGTGATGAGAAAACAGGTGTTTAAATCCTTGGCTGCTCCAAAACATGACCTGCTGTCACACCAGAGTCTGTGACCAAGTCCCCTTTATATACCCAAAATGCACTGGTTCTCTTTGTTCTCTAGTTAACGGCATAATTTTTGGATTCCTCTACGTTTAGGTGACAGCAGGAGGCACTGGTGCATGGATGTCGTCACACTTTCTACAAGTGGTGTTTGGTATTAGAGCTGCACGATTAGTCGATCGAAATAAAATTAATCGCAAATTATTATGAGTCATTTCTCAAGCAAAAATGGTCACATTTGCTGGTTCAATTTTTTTTCAATGTGAGACTGTTGCTTTTTTTGTCACGTATGATCAGCAGTGGTTCCAAACTGGTGGGTCGTGGTCCAAAAAAGGGTCGCAGATCCACTCTGAATTGACCACAAGTGACTCGCAAACGTGTCAAGTTTGTAAAAAACACACTTAATTTTCAGGTAGTTAATTTCTGGCACAGAGCTTTTATTTTGAAGTGCTGTTTCCTTCAGTTCTGCTGTTACACCAGATTCTGTGACCAAGACGTGACAGTTTAAGTCCCTTTTATTTACCCAGAATGCACTGGTTCTCTCTGTTTTCTATTAAAGTTAACTGCATTGTTTTTGCATTTTTCTACTTTTAGGGTGACAGCAGGAGGAAATGTTGCCTGGATATTGTCACACCAATTAATTAATTATTAATTAGAGCCACACAATTAGTTGGTAAACTGACTGAAAGAAATTTAATTGCAAACTATTGTGATATTTAAATAAATGATTTAGTCATTCCTCAAGCAGAAATGTCACATTTGTTGCTTTGAGTTTCTAAATTGTGAGACTTTGTCATTAATGATAAAACAGTGGTTCCCAACTGGTGAGTCGCAGTCCAAAAGTGGGTTGTGGACGCGTTATGAGTGGACCACGAGTGACTCGCAAGTGTGTCAACTTTGTAAAACACACATTATTTTGAAGTGCAGTTTCCTGCTGTAGAGTGAGTGACTAACAGACAGCAAACAACCTCGACGACGTGGCCAAACACAAGTGTGACGCTGAGTATATTAAACTGTGTAGACCTTGAACTAATGACTAAGGAGACATCTGAACCAGTTGGGAACCACTGTGATAGAGTGTGAAGTTTTCTACTGCCAGTAAACAAGAGCTGTGTACAGAGTTCTTGCAGTAGGTGAGTAGACATCTGTTTAGTGGTGTGTCACCTGTGATGTCACAGACGGGCCATAAAACAGGTCAGTAGTTTTGTATCTCTCTTACTAAATCAGTCTCTCCTTCAAACTCCGTGCTGACGTAATCTGGATTGATATTCGAGCACTGGTGGGCGGAGATGGACGGTATTTGTATGAGGCCCATCATTGCATCTCACAAGGGGCTTAAATTGGTGTGTCCACCTGGGTGTTGTATTTCCATCAGTGCTGTTCGTAGCCGATCAGAGCTGGAGCTGATAAATACCTGTGACTACTGATCTGGGTGCTGCAAGTAAACCTGAAAATGTCTCTGGGTTCTTGGTAATTATGAAAGAATTTTTCACTTTTTCTTGACATTTAATAGACAAAATATTATTTAATTAATCGCGGAAATAATCAGCAGATTCCTAGATAATAAAGAAAGACTGTTAGATGCAGCTCTGGTAATGTTAAAATATTTTTTAAACTTCAGACACAGCAGGGTCACATGTTCAAATTTGTGACTTAACCTTCGAGAGTTTTCCTCTGGTATCCTTCAGTCTTTATAACCGGCGAGGGGTAAAGGCCAATGAGATGTGAGTATTTCTAAATTTCCAGGTGCAGGTCAACAGAGGCACGGCACACAATAGGTCACTATTTCTAACAAAGGCCATCAGAAAATGTGACCCTGCACCCGGAAACTGAAGAAACTGCTGACCTGTTGTAAAGAATGAAGGACAGACTGAACATATCGCTCACGCTGCGTTCAAGTAGTGTCGGCACAATGAGGAGGAAACCTCGTCAATCCCGATGTTACATCCGCTGGTGGCCTTGTAGTGATGTCATTAAGAGTCGAATGCCTCGATTAGACCGAACGTGGTTTTAACATTGCTGCGTTTTTTTCTTTGTATGGTTTGATGTGAAGTAAACGTGCAGATTTGAACCTAGAGGGCACCTGGGGCCTGGACACAGGGAAATGGAGACCCAAGTGTGGGCACAGAAAGAGGAGAATCACAGGGAGAAACGTCACCACCAGTTTGTCCGGGAGTTCGCCTGGAGGATCAAGCCTCACTTTAGGATGAGTCGGGGACAGTTTGACAATTTGCGGTCAATCACTGGGCCTCATTATGGTTGGTAAAACTTCAGGAAATAGCTGAGGCTAAAATCTGTTTAGATGCGTGAACGTTAGCTTCATACTATACGCTATCATTTCTTGTCATCGCCGCCACAGAAGGCCTGGGTTTCAATTCATCTGATTGGACATGACATGACACCGCTGCAGTTCTTTTATCAGGTGGTCTAATATGGAAATAAAAATACTGACCTGTTTTAACGAAAGAAATACGACAACGTCCGTGCAACAGCGCCCCCTGCAGTCACACACAATATGGTGTAACACCAGCTGAGCCAGGTCGGTTTAGTTTCCACTTCATCATACAAACGACGCCATTTCACACGACTTTTAGAGGCTGAATTTAAATGGAGAAGATACTGCAGCATCTCTGACGTTAGGCGCAGCATCTCCACCACCTGTTGTTTAAAGACACCTGTTGTGACATCACAGACTGGGGGCGTGGCCTGTGTGCAAAACACTCCAAACACTTCACCCATGGAGAGCAACACAGCAGCTGTTTTCTTTTCCATAAGTGATTTGGAGTTGATTTACCTTAAAAAGACAAACTTTAAACAGTCAGACTGACGTCATCATATTCACCTCGATCAATATGAACTATAGAAAAACAAAAACACGTTCTTACATTCTTCACCCTGTGAAGCCAGTTAACTCAAGGAAACATGGCTCTGGCAATGGCTAACTACTCATTAAGTATTGCACATCTAGCAAATCAACAATTTGTAACTTTTTTTTTTTCCAGAGAAATGTACAGTCAATATATGTATATATTAAATAAATACTATATATAGAAATATATATAATATTTATTTGTCATCCTCATAGTAACATGCAATTGATAACAGCAGACCACAGACGAGAGATTTTACAGTAGAACTAGAACAGTAATTCAGCCCGGCGGGCCGATCTAGGGCAAGAGAACACATCTGAGAACACTCACATTATTTTAGGGTTCAAACACTTGTAAGAAGCGTTCACATGCAGTGCTCTGGTGCAGTATACAGTAGCGTTTTCAGTATGGGATGTCCTGCACTACAAGAGGGTCTCTGGATATTTCACCAGTTTAAACTTGGACAGACTGGAACTTTACAGTAACCACAGATCACAGAATAACTCACAGTCGAATGGAGACGGGAAGGGAGAGGAGGGGGGGGGGGGGGGGGGGGGGGGGGGGGGGGGGGGGGAGAAGACTAAAATGAATGTCAAGGCTGTGCACGGGACCTGCATGCACTCTGTGCCTCGGGGTGATCCCTCACATCTCCTATCGGTAAAAACAGTTGGGTGGTTGGCAGCAGGAACAAGAGAAGACTTTCACACTGAGGAGAGGAGCTTGAGGAGAGTCTCCCGACTTAAGGAGCAGGCAAACATTTAGCTAGTTGGAATCATCAGGACGACAGCGATGAGGGGTTGCAAGTATTTACACGACATCACAGACTAAACACGTCTACACAACAGGGTCTAAAAAGGGTTGAGGCTTGTATATACAAGAGGAGGGAGCGGGAAGTGTGTGCTTAGAGTAAAGTTAGGGATTGTCAGAAGTCTGTGGTTTTAGAGCTGAGATGCCGTTTCAAGTAGAGAGGCACACCGAGGATGTGGGGGAGGGGGGGCAGAGGGCGCAGGGCGTAGACTAGCTAGGAAGGGGTCGCGGTGACAGAATCTTGGGTTTTCCTTCCGCCTCCTTCCCCTTCACTGCCGCCACGTAGGAGAAAAGGCAGAGGACCGAGTAACAGATCTGATGTGCCTGTGGGAGGAAAGAACAACCATGAGGAAGATGATGGTCCAGGTGTGAGGTCACAGCTGTGTACAGATAAAAACAACTCCAGAGAAATATTTACTGTCACACACGAGTTATATAATACTATGGAGTGATGTTTTTATGAGTGTATCCCTGTGTGTATCTTGCGCACTAGCATCAAGATGTTCATCTGGTGGATAGCTGGCGTCAGTAAAGGGCTACCTCAAAGACACACAGTAGGGATGCACCACATTGCAATTTTTGCAGATATCCGATATGCTGATATATAACGAGTCATATCCACCTAATTTTAGTGATCAAGTCTCTTCTGCAGTGGAATTAACGTCATATTATACATGCATACTCTTATCATGACGGCCCACCAGCAGACTGAGACATGAAATACAATACTTTTTAATGTATGTAATATTCAGTCATTGTACAAAGTAAGAAAAAGAATGTTAGCTAATTCTTCTGCTGATATGTAAACACATGTAACACATGTACTGTAAACACATTGTTTACTAGACAACTCCACAGGGCTTGTTAAACGTGTGTGCTCTCCATGCAGTGTTCTCAGAGAGCAAAACCCTGACCTAAATGACCTGAACCCTAAAGATGAAACGCTGACTGACCAGTGCATTTTAATTTATTGAAATGTAATCTATTAACCCCACTTAGTGCTAACGATTCTCAGTCGTCACCTTACTCAACAACAACACCAAATTATAACATAACGGATTCTGACAGATGCTAAATATTCTTATTTAGAACTGGGAGCTCTAAGTTAAAGTGGAGAACGCGTTCAGACTGCGCTGCTCAGCACAGTGGGGAACTAGAGTACTGGGGTCTGGCACCAAGACTAACAAGAATCTGCAGGGTCGCCCAGGGAAAATTCAAACCTGGCTCCACTTTTTGATTTTCCATCACACTGCTTTGATGGATGACGTCACACAACGTCGAAAAATCAAATACATGGTGTAGTGCTGCAGTTGATCACAAGACCACTGGGACCTTAAATCACTGTAGGTGCATTTCCACCCCCTGTTTTTATGCATATTTCCAACTTGGCTTAAAGGTGGCTTAAGTGGAGACAAAAAATAAATAAAAAACCTTAACACATGGCAAAAATCTTCAGTCAACTAGTGGCTCTTTGCTTCTGTTTCCAATTGACAATTAATTCTTGTTATTACATTTTAAATTAATTATTTAAATTTGACCATATGGCCTTAAAGGGAAATTTCAGTTTATTTCAACCTGTTTCCTAGCGTCCTAAATTTGTTTCAAGTGACTAGTGACATAAAAATAATAGTTAGCATGTTAGCCGTTAGCCTAGATACAGCTGGGGCGCATAGCGTCAGACCTGTTAAAACGTAAGTGAACGGGCAACCTTCAAGTGCAAAGTTAGTCCACTAAACAAGCTTTTTTCCCACAAAGACCGCCTCATATCGTTAGGATAAATGTCAGAGAACATATAGAAAACGACATGTAAATGTGTTGTCTTACCTTACCGGTGTGGTGCCCTGTTTGTTTACCATTTAGCTCTGCTTTCCAAAGCGCGGCCGAAATATCGCGAAAACAAGCAGCGATCTCATACCGTGCCTGAAATCTCGCGAGAACAAGCAGCAACAGCTGGAAGGCAGAACCGGACAGTAGCCTGAAAAGTTCATTCATTTATTTTATGAAAGATTTATAGAATAATGGCTGACTTTTTGCCAGACTTCGACTTTGTGGAGGAGGAATTTGATTTTGCAGAGTTTGATGGCCGCCCTTATTTATTTGAGCCAGAATACACTGACGAAGAGCTTCGTGAAATTGAAGAACAGAGGAGGAGAGAGAGAGAGGCGCAACAGGTAGAGGACGAGAGAGGAGGAATGGCTGCTGCAAGGCTGCGTAGCTCTGGAGATTGGTGGTGTACCTGTGAATGCTGTGCCCCAGTGCCCACAGAAGAGGAATGCCTCTGTTGCAAGGAATGGGACCGGTTGCAGCCTTATTTTCAAGGTCTGGATGTGACCGAGGACGAGACACCTCCACCTGGAGTAGTATCCAGCTGGGCTTTATCTAGAGCCGGCGAGATATATTTTGGCCGCGCTTTGGAAAGCAGAGCTAGATGGTAAACAAACATGGCAGCACACCGGTAAAGTAAGACAACACGTTTACATGTTGTTTTCTATATGTTCTCTGACATTTATCCTAACGATATGAGGCGGTCTTTGTGGAAAAAAAGCTTGTTAAGTGGACTAACTTTGCACTTGAAGGTTGCCCGTTCTTTTAACAGGTCTGACGCTACTATGCGCCCCGGCTGTATCTAGGCTAACGGCTAACATGCTAACTATTATTTTTATGTCACTAGTCACTTGAAACAAATTCAGGACGATAGGAGACAGGTTGAAATAAACCGAAATTTCCCTTTAATGTGGTATCACACTTTTCTATTTTTTAAAGAAGAATTTGAAAATGTAAATGACAGCTGTCACGGCATAAAACCAATGATCTCTTGATCTTTAACGAATCAGGACTTGATAGTGTAACATTAGTGAATCATGACCTTTAAATCAAAAGTCAAAATAGCTTGTGAATTTGGAGAATCGTGACACCCCTACATGTTTCTGTTACATGTTTTGAAGTCTGACTGTCGCTCTTTTAATCAGATGATTTCGAGCCACCTACTGTTTCTTACTATTACCAAACTCCTAATATTCAGTAGTGGATTGATAATTTTCTGAAACTTTGGTTAAAACGTGCACTTTGTAAACTTTTCATTACTTTCCAGAATTGTAAAATCCTGTATAGAGAATCATAAACCACTGTGCAGTTGTTTGGCAAATGATGAGCCTTCAAACTCATGAATATATTACTTTAGTTGTTTTTTTTTCATAACTATTTATCATCTTCTAATTAACACATCCACACCAGTGCAGACCCTTGCATTTTGTGTTTGTAAATCAGTGCTACTTTCAGTCTGAACATGCCCCAACATAATTATTATGCAGGGTTTTTTTAAACACGGGAAAACATGCGGGCTATTGGCAATAAATGTGTCAGAAAACTGTTTTAGTAAACAGTAGAAAGCAGCATGGAGTGAAAGTGGTTCCTCCTTTTTTTATATCTGTTACTGATTCATTTCTCTTTTAAACTCAGTGCCAGTTTGGATCCATGTTTGAGCTGCTTGGACAGAAACAGACAGATTTTATGGCAGCACGTCGTTACATCGTGCCAGAGATTGGCAAAAAATTAGCGCATCCACCTGGGTGTCATGTTCCATCCCTGCCTATCAGAGCTGGAGTTGATGAATACCCATGACAACTGCAGAGTCGTTTGACCCGGGAGCGAACACCGATCGTAACCTCTCCATTAAATACAAAATCCTGATGTCAGCGGGAGTGAGTAGGAAAGGAGCTTCACTGTAAGATGAAGTGGAGACATAACTTTGGTGCCATCAGCTCGTTATATGAGTAAGGTGACTGCTGACTACAGGGCCAAACTCTCAGGAGGTGCTGTAATCCTTTAATGACCAGAGGGAATTAAACTGCTTCACTCTCAGTGATTAAGTTCACACATTATAAAGGACGTGTTAAAGTGCTTCCACTGAGGTTAGAGCTTCAGTTTTCAGACTTGTACTCATGTTAGATGTCTCAGGGGGACTGAATCAGAGGGACACCTTGTGACTGGCGCTCGACATGCACTGGTAGAAGACAAAAGAAGACGTGAGCACTCACCATGGGGGTCTTGTACTTGTGGATCACCACTTCTTTAGTTTCAGGAACTATGCCGATGCAAGAGACAAAACAAAGAATTCAAAGGCAGCAGGAACATTAATGAGTTCATGCTTGAGAGCTTTTGGGGAGGGGGAGGCAACAGGGGTGGACTTTTAACAAGGTGTAAAATGGGATGTGGGCCAAGAAGAGTCTGCCACAACAGTCAGGAGTACACTCAACTTCAGACAGAGAGGGTGACAAGGGCAGGAGTCTGCTGCTGTTAAATCCTGTTTATGTTGAAATGTTTAAAAACTCGGATTAATTAAATGATCAGACTTTATTTTTTCAACTGATTTTCAGTCTATCAAAGGACCGAGTCTGGTGTAATAAACTGTTTATATGGGACTGTAAAGTGATAAATGTGACTGTTGGTGGGACGTTCATGGCCCACAAAATGGACAAAAAAAACACAAATGTCTTTTATAACAAGAGACTGCAAAGGTTGTAAAGTTTCAAATGTGAAATAAAACAAAGCAGGAAAAAGAAGGACAACCTTCCCTCCCCAACTCTTTCCACCCCAGTGAACCGAGAGTTAAAAGACATCACAGAGAAGCAGCTACGAGAGGCCAAAATCCTTTGACCCGGGACCATGTCACTGCCCGCAGGACAGATTGACTTTTCATTAGTAACTGTGAACCCATACAAGAGATGAGGAGGCAGAGATTTGGACAGATGAAGGGGGGGGGGCGGGGGGGGGGGCTGGGAAATGTTAAATCCCTCTACAGACCCCCGACTTGCTGAGATTCAGAGGCAGACTACCAGAGAATGAGAGATGGAGTCTGGGGTGATCTCCGAAATGAAAAGCAAGTGATGACGGAAGCAGAGGAAAACTCATGGTACAGAAAAAAGAAAATAACCAGTGAAAAGGATCGAGTGAGGAAATACTCTGAGTTTAGTTTGAATAAGAAAGGAGAAAGGTGACAACACTTTACCTGCTGGAGAATGAAGGTTTTCATAGTGGCAAAGATGAGGGCAACATTACAAAAGCAGCACAGAGACACGACAGTAACCCAGCCTGGCACTCAACCTCAGCCTCTGACCGTCGTAGACATGTAAACAGTGCACTGACCCTTTAACTCCTGCTCAGCAGAGGCAGCCTCGACAACAAATCTTTAGTGCTCTCTTCTCTGCACCTATGAAACGTATAACTTACAGATCAAGGGTTTTTTTTTCTGTCAACGTGTAGATAAATCTGGTGTTTAAGGAGGATTTTAAGAGCTAAAACTACTTCTTATTCTTCTCTTAAGTTCAATAACTGGTCTTTATTTTCCAGCTAACTTAAAATCATTGTACAGCTTGGTGAAATATTTAAAATTGTGCGAGTGTTGTTGTTGCATCTGGTACTTGTTGGGCATTGTGGTTTTAAACCTTTGAAACCTGAAGCGACGTCACTTTTCAGATGCCCTTCGCAAGTTTTCATACCTTTAAACGTTGAGCAAATTGCCGCAATCCTTTCAAAAACATGGAGAAAAAAGCAAAAAGTAACTTGATGAGAAATGTTCCACAAATTGGAAAAAATTAGTAGATTTTGAAAATTATCTTAAGGGAAAAACCTATGTTTATAATTATCATTATTATATTTCTAAAATAATGTTACGGAATTATTATGTTTTTTTAAACTCTTTCTCCAGGTCATCTCCTTGTTGTTTGTTGGTTTTAACTTTCGTTCTTTTTTTCCTTATTTTTTTGTTGTTAATTAATTTTAACTTTTTACTAAATTCTTGCAGATTTTTTAGGTCATTTATCCATCTGTTGTTCATTGCCGTTTTCCCATGTTTTTGAAGGAAACCGAGCCAATTTGCTCAGGTTCCAAAAGGTTAATCAAATACTCAAACAGAAATAAATAATGTGTTTATCAGGGACTATTTTCAGTGGTGGATTAATACACATTTAGTGCTTGCAGGACAGTGACTGTGGGACTGAGTCAAAATAAACTACAGTTTCTATGTTCATTGATGAGTTTCTAAAAGCTCTATGGCACTGATTTATTTTTACTTTTTTTCATTGGATTTGTCAACAATATGAAAAAAATTATAGAATATCAGCAAACTTAACCGTTAGGGCTCGATCTTACACCTAGCTTAAAGAGCGCACAGCGCAACTGTCATTGCTAGCATTAGATCAATGCAGTTGTCATATTCACGTCCAGCACACACACTGTGTAAGCAGCAAATGTACTTGCATCCATCTGTGCACCCATGGGTGTGTAGATCTTAAACTGAGGTGTGGTCAGGTGCACTGTTGGCGGACTGGTATTTTGAGGCAGCAGAAGTCAACAGCGCAGAATGGATGAGACGCGGGGATGAGTTGCTGGTCAGTAAAATACCACAGGATTAATAAGGAAAATATTCACTACAATCTATATAATGTGAATGTAGCAGAGAGCAGAGCAGAGACGCAGCTGCTTTCTGACTCCCCATTAAAGGCTCATTTATGCTCAACATTACATATGTATACGGACATGGACGGATCCCTCTGTCTGTACTGTGTGTTCAGTTCATCCGTATTAGTGCACAGATAAAACATAGCAGTACCATCATAGACCACAGGGGGCAGTGTAGCATAGTTGAAGTGAGATAAGACCATAAGAGAGGACGAAGACATTTAAAAAATGGAATGGAATGAATCTCTAACATAGTGGAAAGAATTCTCAGTCTGTCGTGTTGCAATATATTTCATGGCACATTTGTTGTTGTGAAACTTTTGACTCCGCCCTCTAGTGCCATCTGTTGGCTGTATCGATGCCTACATAAAGGACACACGGAAGTACGAGGGCTGCTACGTTTACAATGTTTGAAACAGGCGCATCTATTTATGTACAATAAGGAAGTATAAAGGAGCCTTAAGAGAAACGCTGTGCGCATTTACTCACATTGATATACCTGAAGCTAAAAGTTTAGCTCTTGCTTAAATGTCCCACAATATTTGCTGCAGAGATTAGGGGTGGGAATCACAAGAGGATCCACGATACAATATTATCACGATAAAATATATTGCGATATGTTAACTTTTTTCAACTGTAAATGACGTTCCCTGAGGAAAACTTTGAAAACTTCATCTTATTAGATAAAACTTCAGCCATTTTCTTTTTGTAGCAAAATGTATGTAGTGGACTGAAAAACAATTTATGATATTATTCTAGTAGGCTGCCTAAAGTTTAATTTGTATTTGTCATGATAATAATTTATATAATAAAAAAAAAACAATGATATTTGGCACTGTGACAATACGATATTGCCACACAAAAGTATTGCAATACTATGCTGTATTTATTTCCCTCCCAACTTTAAGTGACATTTAAGCTCTTACTACATCACTCTCAAAAGTGTTCGCTTCTCCACTTTGCTGAACTCGTCACGCCCAAAACACATCTATGATTAATTAAGGGACTAAATCCGACCACTTTGCACCCAGATTATGCACCATTTAACTTGTATAAGTGGAGTTTGACACGTCCATTGCACTTGTGGCATCCACTTTAGACCAGGCCCTATGGATTGTTTAAATAGGGTCCTTGATGTTTATATATTAAACCTTATATTTGCTTGTGTTATGGTAAAAGAAACTTTGTTAAACGGATCGAATCTTGGTTTGTAATTTTAACTACACAATGAAACAAGTGGCTGTAAATTACTTTTACTCATTATGCATTAAGTTTTGCCTCTACGTCTCTGTGATGAAACATTTTAGTTTTAATTTCTACTTGTTCCTGTTCGTTGTAAAATATGGAAAAAAAGGCAGCGAGACTTTCTGTCCTCACACTTCTGTTTCAAACTGCACACACTTATTATTTCTCTCCGTCCCTCTCCATCAGCTCAGTAAAATGTGGCTCTGCTCTAAACTTTCATCGCTGCCATGTGACCGCTAGAAACCCACATCCTCTCCAGAATTCATCGCTCACTTAATCACCTGCAGACATCAAAGTCTCGGTGCTCCCCGAGGTGAGCGAGTATCCAATTTAGTGAGACCCTTATTAGCTCTCGTCAATGCATTTGCCATGAAGCTGAGTTACTGCCGTGCCGAGTACAGGCCTAGAATCAATAGATGGTGTAATTACCAAATTCCTCCAGGACAAAGACTCCCTTCACTGTATTGCACTTTTTAATGTGACTCAGCTCTATGAAAACCTAAAAACAAACAAAAAAACAAACAAAACAAGACAACATTATTAACTCAACAACACTGGATGAAAAGTAAACACTTCATATTTAAAAAATTAACCATGTTAAACTTGTTTTATTCAGTATGAAAGGTCAAAATAAAACAACTACACATGGAGTGCAAGCTTTTAACAGCTAATGAAAGAAAAGAAAAGCACACTATGAGAAGTTTCCATGATCAAACGCATACATGGGCGACGGTTAAATGAGGAGAAATGCATTTAGTCTGCTCAAAGCTCAAAACTTATTCAACAAGACTTGTTTCATCAATGAAGTGGATCAGAACTGGAGAATTTAAACTTGTATTTGGATGTGAACAGCAGAGGTAGTTAAAGAAAGAAACACATTTCTGTTTAATGCTCAGAGATGCAATATGGCCCATATGATGCATACATGGAAGTTCCATATAAAAATGTGGACAAGGACACAAAATTAGATTTGCCATACAGCTACGACAGTAAAAAGAAAAAGATAGAGGAAAAGAAAAGAAGGAACCCAATAAGATGTAACTGCTAATAAGCAAACACAGCAGAGGTTGTGTACCTTCCGCTCCTTGCAGGGGGAGAGAGCATGGGAGAGAAATGGTTTGGATTATTATCGGACAGAAGAGCACAAACACTCGACGACACTCCGAGAGGGCGCTATCCACAGGAGCCTCGTGCGGATTCAAATCAAGAATCTAGCTAAGAAGTTACCAAAAGCCAATATGATAAAAAAAATAAATAAAAAAAAACATCACAAGAGGAATCAACCCCCCCAAAAACTAGGAAATGGAAGAAGAAAAATAAAGAGGACTAGAGGTTTGACTAGGGTATTGAGAGCTGGATTCACCTTTGTTTTCCTGGACTTTCTTTAAACATCTCAGTCCCCCAGAGCCCTCCATGCCTCCTCCTCCAGCAACAAGGGCTGGCACCAACACCACTTGCTCACACAGCAGCACAGATAAATGAGGGCAGCCACTGATGGACAGTAAATCCTGCTACCATGTAGGATGTCACCTCCGACACCATCTCACTGCAGAGCTGCCTGGGACACCACCCAGAGCTCAACCGCTATCAATTTAGAGCTGAATAAAGCTCCTGCTGATGGTTCAGTAAAAGTATTTCACTCAGAAACCATGAAACTATCCACGAGGACTCACAGTCTAACTGCAGAAAAGTCTCTAATGAAAATCGTTTATTCTAGAAATGTGGAGCGTCTTTGAGAAACCGATGTCTGAGGTTAATTGTACTGAGCTTGTATGATAATGAAAAGTCTTCTCCGAGTGCGGCACTCTAACCCCCTGCAATATGAAGCGAAAAAATTCAACTTGAGCCAAAAGAGCCTGAGGTAGAAGCAGCGAGGGAAAGCAGGCAGCGACCATAACAGTGACTCAGTGTAGCTACGTCCAAGTTAAATGGTCAGTTCACCCAAATAATAGAACTGCATTTTATCTGGCCAAGCAGAAAGTTTTGGTTCATAATCCACTGCTGCAGGAATGGAAATGAGTTGGCATGTTTGGACTCCCGATTCCCTCATCTGAAAGTCAATGGGTTTTAGTCTGTGGTTAACACAAGCTTAAGAGTTGGGATGTGTGCGTCTAAACGATTAAATGTCCGCCACCCCACTAGTCGGCACCAGAAATATTAGTCGGTTAAACCTATTAGTGTTTTATTCATGTACAAGGCTTCTTAACGGTCATGCAGCTGCCTGCCACTAGTGGGTGCTACAGAGCCGCCAGACAGCAGTCCCTGGCCTGAAGTTTTAAAACAGCATGGTGGGAAATAAGAGAGATGTCGTCTGACAAAACCAGCGCAGTTTGGCAGCACTTTGATCTAGAAAATTAATTCAGCAGCTCTTAATCTTTTTGAGATGTTTTATTATTTGTTAACTTTAAGTGAGGTGTTGTCAGATAATGTGCAGGTTTACATTCACACTGCACGGAGCTACATGCCTCTCATTTCAGCTGAAATTTGATTATAATTTAGATGTTATTTTATTAACTTTAAAGTGAATTGCTATCATATCTGTCAGATAACCTGCAAGGTTCAATGTGCCCCACATTACAGAGGCAATTTATTTATCTGAGATGTTCTTTTAGTGATAATGACTTTAGTGTTCTTTTATCTCAGATATGTTAGGATATTACATACCTTGACATGTTTCGGCGGAAACTTCCGCCTTCCTCTGAGGAAGAAACATGTCAAGGTATGTAATATCCTAACATATCTGAGAGAAAAGAACACTAAAGTCATTATCATAAACTAAAGACATAATGAACACCATTGAACTGTTTTTCTAGTGGTTAATTTTTGACTGAGTTGCCGTCATGTTCACGTCCATACCGCACGGCACAAAGTATCTCGTACTTTAGCCGCATTTAAAATCCAGCATTGCTGTTAAAGATTGTGATTAAAGGCTTCACAGGGCTGTTAATGCACACAATATTTTTTAGGACAAGGTTTCAAATACTTAATAAATTGTGCCAAATTTTGATTGTTTTCTGAGTGTTTTTAGTCGACTAGTCTTAATTAAAAGTTTCGTTTAGTCGACAAGGAAATTAGTCGACAGGAACATCCCTAATCTGAACCCTAGGAAAGAGGCGTCATAATTGGTTGTGAGCAATGTGGTGCACCGTTTTGTGCTGAATTTTTTCAGGAGCCCTGTTTCTATTCAAATCTGTTGCTGGCTTTGAAAGAGCTGCACTTGATGAGGAACACCTGATTCCTTAAGTTGAAACAAGAACCTAACCATATGAGTCCTTAGCTTATCCAAAAACCTTAATAAGGTGGAAGCTGGCTGGAGGGAGATCACCAGCCAGCTGAAAGTTTCTGATAAATGACCATTGCTAAAAAAACCTAAACTACTTGCAGTTGGCTTCATTCTATCTAATTTCCTGTAAATGTCTCAATATGAAATGTGTGTTTTCTATTACAAGTAACGATACAAACATAGGCAAATAGCAAGTAAGCTACCCACCCATCTTTTAGGTAGCTACGTCTCCAGATTGAACGTGTTTGCTTACATGATGTAACAGAAGTGAATATTACAGGATTCAATGTTGACAGAGAGCTCTGATGACACCAGACACCAGTCTGGTCTGGTGTTTGGCTTAATACCAAACAGTTTTACCCTAGCCCAGCCGTAGAAGCTCCTATAAAACTCTCTGCAGTGAGGTCTGTGGATTATCAATAGTAATCAGGACATTGTTGCTGCTGAATACTTGAAATTAGATTTTGTGAGCGCCACAAATGAGCAACCATTCACCTCCACAGTACTGGGTTGGAGGTGAAAAACTTTGAGACAAATAACAGAACCTGTACAAGTTCAACCAAAACTGTCGGCATGGATAGATACCACAACAAGTGAAGCAGAAAACGTCTTTTGTTTGTCTTGTAATTTGGGTGAACTGACCGTTAAAATGACTTCTGTTGTTGACACTTCAGTTCAAAGATGTAAGATTTTCTTTCACTTCTTGCTAACGCAGAAGCTCAACGTGTGTGAAGTGTCTTTAATCTGCAGCGGCTCCCTGATCTGTCAGCATGGTCACGTCTCAGACTATTCAACTACAGCACATTGTTCAATCACAGAACCTGAGGAAACATGCGAACCCCGACTACGACTGCCTGCGCAGGTGTGAAGACAACACATGACGATGTTCGAGGGTCCAAACTTAAATGTGGAAGTTGCTATTAAATAGCCAATTATTAATGAAAAGTCTTTGCTCAAGGTCATCCGTCTGAAGTTACCACTGATGCACAACACACACACATTAACACTTCGTCTCCTCCCACACAGTAAATGAACAATGAGGTTTGAGCACCACGGATGTCGAAAAGAAAACTTGTGTGGAAGGATGTGTTAATATTGTTCTTGGGAAACGCATGCACACGAACACACACGCACAAACAAACACAAACTGAAAAAAGCAAATCCAAAAAAGCAAAAGCACAAACAAGAATTCTTCCTCTAAAGGAAACATCAGGTCAGGGCCAATTCAACATGTTAGTCATTTTGAGGAGGATTTATTTTTGTAATGACAATAGAGGAAGACGTCACGAGATGAAAGGAAATGAGGCAAACAGGAGTGATGAGCAGAGAGGTGGACAGAAGGACGGGATGAACTCTGAACCATCATGAGTGAGTTTTTTGTTTTCATGCCCTCGTGTGAGATGAGAAGCAGTTTCTCCGCTGTGGTACGGGCCTCTTACCTGGCTGTGCATGAATTTGAGGTTGATTCCTTCCAGTGTGACCTGCAGCAGTCCACCTTCACCAGTTTTCATGTCCTGGACAGGAAACTCTCCGCCCAGCTCGGGACCTGAGGGGAACAACGCCTGAGTTTAGAGCGAGTGCAGAAAATGAATTCCCCCAAACCCTCAAATCTCAACAGCTGGAAAATAATTAAAACAAAACATAACATACTGCAGGGGTGTAGGGGAGGAATGTAGATTTTTATTTTCATGTCTTAAAAATAATAAAAAAAAAAAAACATAACTTTAACAGAATTTTTTAAAAGGAAATCACAACACTGCAGCCACTGCAACACCAGGGGGGGGTGATGGTGCCTGTATTCTTCCCAAACTACTTTGTTTTAGTTGGTATGCGTTACATCCTGTAAAGAAATCACTCAAACTGCTTTTTTAAAATTGGCAGTACATCAAAAAATAAAAGTGTAAAAATGTTACATCACTGAAATATTGACCATTTATAGGTGCTGTGTGTAGGAGTTGGGGGATCTATGGACAGAAATAAATATAGTATTCATATTTATTCTTTCATTAGGCCGTGATCACACAGTGTTTTGCAGGTTGCAAAACACAAGGCGCACCATACTGCCTTGTTTTTCTAATGAAAAAACACTTACTGCATCTTTTTATTGTTGCCAGTCAACCTACCCATCATCTCTTTAATCTACCCTTCCCATGTGATCAGTCTACCTTTTTTTAATTGTTTATTTATTTCACAGTGATTAGTATCTAGTTCCTAAAATGTTGAAGCAGAGGGTACTGTCTATAGCTCTGTGCACAGGGAAACGGAGATCTGTGTGGGTACATGAGACCCTAAAAAAGAGGGTCCTAAAAAACAGCTGGTCCAGGAGCTTCTCCTCCATGATAGCTGTTTGTAGGCATATTTTAGGGTGACTCAGGGGCAGTTTGACAACCTGCTGTCTGTCGTTGGGCCCTATAGCTCTGGGTATCCAGCAACTGCTACCACCAGTTTCTCCTCCATTGTTTGCCAACTGTAAACTTGTTTACAGAAAAGGTGACTTGTTTCATCATTAAATCTAAAATTTAAAAGTGGAAGAAAAACAGAGAAAGAAAGAGAGGAGTCCTCTCAGCCAGCTGGTCCTGAGTCCCGAGGCTCACCTCCTCTAACAGCACATCAGGACAGCCCTCACATAATCCAGCCCAACCAATTTATAGCTAAAGCAGAAGAAAACTGCATCAACTATTGGACATCTTCCACAAAAACCCAAAACAAATATTAATGCTATTTGGCCCTAAACAGACAGGACACAATGGCAAACTATCTGACTGCTGTGTCAATCAGAAACTGCGAACGACACTGACTATGTACAGACTCAGTGATCCCAGCCTGGAGACACAGGCAGACCTCAGACACAGGTGGAGACAGAGCAACATCTCCTGATACAATGTCGCACGTATGAAGACATCAGACCAAAGTTCTTCACAAAAATTAGAGTAAAAACGCCAAGATTTGGATTCACTCTCTGACCAGACTAAAATGCAACTTGCAAATCTACTTGGAGAAAACAGCGTCAGCGCCACAGATGCTGCACGACATGTCAGTGCATGTCACAGCCTGAGAGACGACCAACACAGCATACAGTTCATCTCCTCACAGATCACACTCTGCCTTTTATTTACTCCTTCACTTAATTAATTTTTCCTTGTTTTATGTCTGTGATTTTTGTATTATTGATTCTGAATCCAGCGTCTTAAATTGTAATTGTTCTTTGTCAACACAAGTGAAATGTCATGCAAATAAAGCTGGTTGAATTGAATAGAATTGAACTGAGAGCAAAAGAAAGAAGAACAGAAGGAGAGACTATCTGACTCCGTACCTGGTTTGATGCTTTGCTGTCTCGCTGCAGCTCGTTCCATACTGTCTTTAACACAGTAGTAGAGTTCACGACACTGGAACGCACAGAGGAAAGTTATGTGAATTTCTGATGTTTTCCAGCGGTGAATGTAAAATAGCAGGACGCAGAGGGAGACGCAGTGTCTGACCTTTTTGGTATAGAACTTGTTGAGCTGCGTCTCCTGGCCGTTGCGTCTCCACAGACACAGCACCTTGGTCTTGGGGCAGTAAGTCATATTGATGAGCTTCTCGTACCACCAGCGCTCGTACACTGTGCCGATGTTGCTGCGCAGGACTATACAGTCATCACAGACCTGAAACAGTGTTTATAATATCAGTAAAGCATGCTCTCTAAAAGCAGCATCATTTGAGATACCTTGATATTTCATATTACAGACTTTGCGTACCTCCATGAAAAAGATGTCTCCTGTGGTATCAGTGCCAGCATGTACAACAAACGTTTGCTTCTTGATGTGACGGCTTCCACTGGGCCTAATGGGCAGCTCACGGCCATTCTAAAAATAGTGTTCAGTACAAATAATTATAAAGAACAAATAGCAGTCGAATTAGCTGAATTAAAAAAGGACAGCTCCTCACCATGTTGGCCAGTTTGTCCAGTATCTCATTGATCTCTTGGCTGTACGTGAGGCCGATGTGGGACTTCCCCATCAAACGCCTCACTTTCTTCTTGATGTCATTTTTGTTCAACTAAAACAAAAGTATTAAAAAGTTGAAACATCTGGAGGCAGACACAAAGCCAAACATGGCACAGATCAACAAACAGGCCTCCGAACCTTCAACATGAGCATGTATGCAATCATATTGTGCAGCAGGGTGGCCAGAAGTCTGTCTTCATCGTCCTCTAGGCGCTTGCGGTCGTGCTCTCCCAGAGACAAGTATCTGTGTTGATGAATAAAAGACAGACAACAAAGTATTAATAGTCCAGGTTTCATACATTAGAGCTACAAAGTAAAAAAGTATGGAGACAGTATGAGAAACGTCAGCCATGTTGAACCTTTCGATCATCTCCTGAGGTCCCTGATCCATGCCCATGCCTTCACGCTCCAGCATCACAGCATCCAAGTAGGCGTCCTCCCAGAACTGCAGCTGGTCCCACAAAGTGGAGCGCTCCTTACCTGGACACATGAAGACGGAACGCATGTAGCTCCGAAAGTGTGTCATTGCTACTGATGCATTCAAACACAAGACACACCACATGCAGCTACACAGTTTCTCATACCAGCAGCTTTAAAAGAGAACAACAACAAGTTATATCCACGGCCAAGGAACGTTTAATCAGTATCTGTGAACATGAGCTGCTCTCTCTCAAAGCCAGAAACCAGAGAAGTGAGTGTCAAACTTGTGATGTCATAGGGTATAAAGTCTGGAGCTGGTCCACAGACAATGAATGGGAGACTGAGTTTATGGACCCACAGTATGTTTTATCTTCAAACTCAAATGAGCTTCATTCTCTTGTAGCTTTCTCAGTTCTGAAATATGTCTCATATAAACTCATTTGTTTGTTATTTGTTTTTAACCGTACATTGTTTAAGTGTACACATTATAGCATTATAGGGTGACACAGGCCAATTGTTTGATATCTGTTTCTTTGTCTTTGAGTTACCATGGTTGTTTAGGGAGGTCCCTTCCTGGTGGAGCAAAATGTGTGGCTGAGGGCTGAGGACTCTAAGGCTGAATCCAAATGTCCACAGAGCCCTCGCAGACTTATTATCATCACGCAAAGTCTGCGAGGGCAGAGAGTGCAAGCAGCTGATAGACAGCCCTCGAGAAACGTTCAGCTATTGCTGCTGTCATATCAATGTCATTTAAGTTGATTAACAGTGCCTACTCATCTGTTCCTGCAGATAACAAGATATAAATCCCATGTATAGCCTTTTTTTGACATCTCTATATAAAGTCTACACGCATTCAAAAACAGACATGTTTGTAAATAAGGACTATAACTCAATAAATTGGACATTACTGACATTAGAAACCTTTTTTTGTTGTTTATCTGACAATCCTTCAGCCTATTATACTGCACAGCCTGATAGGCCGCAATAATAAAATGCATTTTCAGTCCCTCTACAGCTTAGACTTACACATATCCCTGTATCATGATGTGGGAGAATATTATTTCTGGCCGACACAATTCAAGTAGCATTTTAATAGACCTCACTATCAATACCTATTTTACACATTCATAAGGTTTGCAATGAACTGTGAGTTATTAAATCAGTGAGGTCCGCTGAAGTCTGTCCCCCAAGCAAACTCTCTGGAAGTCTGAGGAAGGCACTGAAGCTTTGGAGCCCTAAGGACTCCCTAACTTCCTGGGAACGCGCCTTCAAGTGCGGTGAAGTCTGGAGATTTGGATTCAGCCTTAAATCCTGGAGCCAACTCATTGGCTCAAACCATGTGCTGCCATGTCTGAAGGGGGAATTAGGTTTAGTTAGTTTTGCTTTGTATTCAGTTTTAGCTGCTGTCCATTTTGGTTACCCCTTGTGTATTATTAAGTGTGACCAAGCCACTGTATATGCTCCCTCGTGTAAAATAAACTCAAAATAAACACCCAAAGTTTTGTCAACAACTCTGCGTCCTTGTTGCCTCACTGCTTGGTCCCTAACAGTCGTCTTAAAACAGACTTAATACCCCATGACATCACAGAGTTGAGTTTTAGCACTCTAGAGAGTTGTTCATGTTTACTAATATTATTTAACTGTCTTAGACCGTAGGAATAACATGCATGAAATCTGAAAATGGGCGTAGCTCCGCTTTAAATATATTTCTATAACATCAATAAAAGCTGAAGGCCTCAGTCTCTCTGACACTCTGACACACACACACACACACACACACACACACACACACACGTGCACACATTATGATCAAAATTACTTGTGTAAATTATTCTAATGAGATAAAATGTTATGGTAAGAATCAGCAATACATCTTAGATATACAACTATTATGTGTTTGTGTTTTTTCATGTTTTCTAAAGCTTGTTTGAAAGTCCCTACATGGTTGCATTAGGTCATGAAGTAATGGTAGTGTAACATTTTCCCTAAGCTCTTTATTTCAGCGGCACACAGTCCTTAGTCATGCATTAAAACAACAGTGAGAGTCACTTAGACCAATTACAGTTACACATAATAACACTTAATGTACGGCAGAGAGGTTTGTGACAAGGCTCACAACTATCAGGTCGAATAAAACCTTTACTTTTGAATCTAGGGATGCACTGAATTATCAGCTGAACATCAGTATCAGACGATATTCATCTTGTTGACTGCCATCGGCCTATCTGCAAATAAGATGACTTTCACCGATGGGTCACATCAATTTTATGAAGGCTAAAAAGCAGGGCTCGAGACTAACGCAGTCCCATCATCCCAGGGACAAACGAAAACAAGTTTGTGATGGACAGAGACCTTCTCCAGGATGCGTTCTGGATATAAGGATGCTTATTATCGATGTGTCAGGAGACACACCCCATTTCTTCCCTGACAATGCTACACTGTCAACAATGATTCCTCATTGACAGGATGAGAGCTAGTTAACATTAGCTGTTAGCAGCCAGGACTAACAGCTAATGGAGGTTGCATTGACTTGCAATATGATGCGTTCGACCTCTATTTGGTATAACGCTATCACAGTGTGTTCAGTGTAGTCTTGTAAAACGTAGTTTTTTGACAAATAACTTGAATAAATGCAGCTGTTTAAAGGAGAAATTTGTTGATGTTTTCACAGCATGTTTTTCATGTGACACAAGATTATTTTAACAGTTGTTTTATATATTTGTATGAAAGAATTTGTGCTAATTCAAATGTAGTGAAATAAAGTGCTTAATAACTTAATAGTTCAATTGTTTTTTATCGTGTAGCTTTCTTTGTTTCCCTGGCACAAAAGGGGGAATAAATAACAACAAAAACAACTTGGTCAAATTGTTATTTTAAACACCAGTATTGGCTCAAAATTTCACTACAATCCAATGCTGCAGCACTGCACAGAAGTGTGTGATGCCTTCCTGTAATGTTAACAATGAAAATTAAATTTTTCTATTCTTTATTTTTTGTGTATTCCGTTTTAATTGAGAAAAAAGTTGCAAATAACCACATTATTATTGAAAACATGAAATAAAAATGTCAGACAACATTAAGGTTAAAAGAGATAACATTAATATTTCCAGACGCTGCAGTAGAGGAGAAAAAAAATCTACTTATAGTATCAGTAGCTGAGCCGGTTTCATTTTTCCCACCCCGATCACATCTCAGTAACTCACTGGAAATCTTGACATTTCCCAATCTTATTTAGCAGCTGGTGGCTCGTTTGAGTGCGCTCAACTCATAATTACATGTCTGACAGCACTTGAAGGCGACATGCACTCATCCAATATGCAAACCCTTGAAATGTTAAGCTCTTAAGTCAACATGAAAGTTAGTCAGAAAACCGAGTGAAGACGTAGGTGAGCAGAAATAAATGTTAAAAGTTAGAGCAAAAGCATCTTTGATCTCTGTGAGGAAAAGAAACGTGTAGGACTGCTAATATTTTCCACTTCTATCTCAGGCTAATAAAAACACAGATGTGCAGCTCACCAACAGACAGGGAAAAACTCCCATCACATCACACCAGAGATTAAACACAGAACAACGGATAACCCCCAAACACAGACACACAAACACACACCCACACAGGAAAAAGGGCACAGGCAAGAGATTAGCCCTACTTAGAGAAAAGGTTTCCATGGCAGCATCCTCTAGTTGATCCCAAACGGAGCTCTTATCGCGCCCTGGAAGAATTTCCCAGGAGGAGCAGCAGGAGGGAAGAGAAGCAGCGAGAGCAGGAGGGGGTTAGGTGAAGAGGTGAGCAGGTTTAATGACAAAAACACCAGCAGAGCGAGCGGAGAACCACATCCAAGGAACACAAGAAGACATACCACAACCAGTTACTCACTTAAGTAGAAGAGTAAAGTAAACTTGTTACTGTGATTAGTGGTGATGAGGCTGTTTATGATTTGCTTAGTCATCACTAAATGTCAATATTTAAAGACTGCACATTAACCTGAGTCAAATGTGTTTGGATCTTCTGAAGTGGGGCTGTATGAGGTACTTATCCATAGTCAGTGTATTACATACAGTAGATGTTAGTTATACGTGTTAATTACATATCTATAATAATCTAAACCTCTGTCTTTCTCAGATGGCAGCAAATATGTAAAATTGGACATTATGTAGCATAAAGTCACAAACATCAGGCTATAACCTCTCACCCTTTAACAGACGAGTGAACTGTTCCATAAAAGACATTTAATATCACACTACTTCTACATAATCACATGGTGACTTCTGCTTTTTTCTCTCAAAAATAACTCGTACATCAGTTTGTGAAAGTTCACTGTGGTTACATTAATATAGAAACCGATGCAAGAGCTTGCACAAGTAAGTGAAAGGTGATGGAAACAAAACCTCGACTAGCAACACTTTCTTTACATAACAGGAAATACATTTCAGAATTAAAGGTTGTTTGTTTCAGAGGATCTTTGACGGACAACACAAATAACGTTAGTGAAGACATGCACAACAAATAACAGTGACAGAAACTTAAGGGAATAATTAGCAGTGTGTTTTGAAGAACATTAGGAGGAAGTGCTGTCTTACAACATCAGAATAAATGTCAGCTGTTTGACTTGTGTTTGACCTGTGAGAGGAAGTATCCAAACTGGAGAGCAGAACATACCCAGCAGGCCTTCACAGAGGTAAATCCTCATACTGATGTCCTCCATGGGCTGAGCAGGCTGGCTCTTTGCTGTAGCATGTGCATGATCTTTTGCAGTTGGTTTCAGAGTGTGAGTCTTTCCCTGTGGAGACAGGACAAGGTTGAATTTGAGAACCAACAGTGAGTACAATAACCACAAATACAGTCTCATATGTTTTAATCAAGCATCATGTGTACTGTAGACATGCTGACTACAGTAGCTAGCTGCACAAAACACCTTAAGATTTTCCTTAAAGCCCATGTTAATGCTTTCTTAAAACAAAATTAGTTGCACAAAACACATCTTTCCCCTCAAGTTCCCTTTAAATGTCCACTTAAGCATTTAAGGTTTTCTTCTTATCTTGGTCTTATACTTAAGGAATCCCTTAAAGCTAGTTCAATGATTGCACAAAAGTCTTAAGGTATCACAAGCTTGAGCGCAAGCACACAAATGGTTACTTGTAACTTTAGTATTTTACCACTGTAAAACCTTTCAATGCAGTAAATGCCTTAACATTCTCACATGACTAAGAAAACCTTCTAAGGGATTCTGTGCAGTACCCTCAGTCCCTCAGTTTAGGAAAATCCTGAAATCCAGTGCAGATTATCCAGGTCACATACTGTTATCCTACGGTGTCTGGGGAGCAGTGCCACACAGTTGTCTACATAGAAAGACTTTTGTGTGTGTGTTTTGAAATGCAAACAAATGTTTCAAAGTGTGTTGACCAATTAACCACAATTTAAGTTTTAACACACCACAAACTTCCAATTGCTGGCGGTTACATGATTGCTTCATTCTTGGCAAAAGAAAAAATACAGAAACAATTTTCCAGGACATTAAACTTTTTCCTCTCATTTTCAGGTGTTTTTAAGTTGTTAAAACCAGTCTGTGATCTTCCAGTTTTTCTAATGTTCATGGGAACCTTAAAAATCCCATCAACTCATGGCTCCTTCTGTGCAGCTTCTTAAAATTCAAACAGAGTGTGCTGGTGATTAAATTGTCTATTATCTAAAGTAAGAACGGTATAATCTACTTATAGCGAGTGTTACACTTACAAACACTGTGCTGGTGGCTGGATTGGTTTCAATCTCGCTGTCAGAAAGAGTCCCTCTGGACTGAGCTAAATGAGCAGCAGTTCTTCCTCCAAGGCCGTCGCCTGCTGTGCTGCTCAGGTCGCTGTCAGCTCCCAGAGTTTCTCCAGAGCTGTTGCTTATCTAAGGAATAAAACGCCAAGTGTAAGAACAATTCATAATGCACAGATGATTTGGAATCAATCTAAGTAAAAAAATATACAATGCACTTTCTTTCTATCAGCTTGATCCAGTGCTGAGGTTATATAAGTTTTACACTATGTGACATATTCTGACACAAGGCTGCATGATTGAATGCACTGATACCTCATGTCTTGTGCATCTATTTTTACACATTTTGTCTGTATGAACTTTACCAGATGAGAGAGTGAGAAGCAAAACATCATCAATATGTGATTGTGTAAGATTCTTTGTTTTCTCAAGCTGGACATACACTGAATGATTCAAGCCCGTTTTTGACCCGATTTTTGAGCCGCAAGACTTTAGAGTCGGACCAAATATCAGCTTTATTGGGTATCCTTTACTGTACAGTGTACAGTGGGGACTGAGGACTGATCATGGTCCAATCAACCGCTCCCAACCGGCAACAGAACTTTCAGATGAACTTCTGACATCAGTGGGGTGCCCAGTAGCTCAGTAGGTAGGGCAGGCGACGCATGAACAAAGGCAGTGTCCTTGCTGCTCCTTTGCTGCATGTCGTCCCCCCTCTCTCTCCCCTCCTTTAACAATTCAAACTATTGTGTCATTAAATGCAAAAAAAGCCCAATAAAATAATCTAAAAAAAATTTAAAAAAAGAATTTCTGACATCAGAAACTTTGATCAGCCATCATCAGGCTCTCACAGTTGAAGCAGCGTCATGAGTATATTACCCAACGTCAGTGCCTTTTTTCTCACGCATACAGTGTATACGCAACTGTTGGTGCTGCTAACTTGCTGACTTCTGTGTGAGTGTGTGTGTGTGTGTGTGTGTGTGTGTGAGAAAGAAGAAGTGAGAGAGTGTGGCAGAGGGGGAATCAAAACTTGGATTGACAACAACATTTTTTAAATCGGGGCGCACGGCGATGTCCGTAGGTGTGAATGTGAGTGTGAATGGTTGTCTGTCTCTATGTGTCAGCCCTGTGATAGTCTGGTGACCTGTCCAGGGTGAACCCTGCCTCTCACCCAGTGTCAGCTGGGATAGGCTCCAGCCCCCCCGAATGAGTGAATTCTTGAAATCGAACAATGTATGCCCAGCTTAACAATTCCTCAAAACTCAGCCTGACAAATTTGGTGTTCTACAGCTCTGAACAATGTTTGGCTGCACACCATGAATCTGTAGCGACTAGCACTGGTTGGGCGGTGAAGTTCAAGGGGTTAAAGCTGATTTACAGTTTTCAAAAGGGAGTGGAAAAAAAAAACTTGGGACCAAAACTGTCATCCTAGAATCTACAGTTCACACTGTGAGGTACTGTGTAGCTGAACAGGTAGGAACAAAGAGCATATTATCTGAGTTGGCCGTGCCCTACCACTGTGCTGGCCTCTGAGTCCTGGCTGGTGCTTCTTGTCAGGATCGGTGGCTCCGAGCTCGTTACTGACTCTGTGTCGCTCTTCTGAAAACCCACAGGGAAAAATAGAGAATTCATTGGTACACTTCAGTGGTGGACAGAGAGCTGCACACATTAGCAGTTCAAAGACTGCACAAGAACTCATGGTAAAGGCCGAGAGGCATGTTAAAGGGACAGTTCACCTCAGAATCAAAGGTACATATTTCATCTCTTTTCATATTATGTTGAGAGGTATTCCTTCTGTCGAATATAATTCAACTAGATGGTAATCAGCTAGTGGTGTTGAAGCACTACGCAGAAGGAAGCGTGGATCTACTCATGGACAAGAGGCTTGTGTGGATTAATTAACCAGGTCATGATTTCTGGAAGGAGACACTGTTGAGACATCTAGCTATTATATTGGAGAGAAGGCAGACATCTCTGCGGCCGTTATCTCCAACACTCTGCAACTTAGACCTAAACAATTTAGACTGATAAATAGGACTACAGGTAAGAGGATAAACATGCATATTTGATTTTAGGATGAACTGTCTTTTTAAAAGTGTAGCCATATAAACCAAACACTGACACTGAAGATCACTCTCAGGCCTGTCTGTTGTGTGCAGCCTTCAGCCTTCAGGGTGTTTGACAGTAACATGTTTGTTTGTTCCGCATGATCACAAAGACAAACAACTGGTAAATCACATCCAAAGTTTTGAAATTTATCTAATGCTCTGCTTGACTACACGACAACAAACCTGCGATCCAGATGTGACGCTGAGGCCACTGTCAGCACTCATCTGTGATTTCTTCTCCTCTGCATCCGTCACTTGGGGGCGCTGCTGCTTCACTCCGTCAGACCCTGCAGGACAGACCGTGACTATGAGCACGTTTTCATGAACAGGACCTCACTATCTTCTTGCCTTACCGAGAGTCGCCTCACTCAAAGCCACCACAGCACAGCAACACTGACGCTACATCCATCTTAAGAGCCAAAGCCTCTGTGTAAACACTGCATTTCACTTGTGACACAGCAAAGCAAACAGGATAACACTACCTTACTCATGTTTGTGAAATGATTTGGAGATTCAGAGCCTTCGGCTGCCTCTAGCTAACAGAACAAGGTGACTATAACACATCTAATCTGAGGTAATAAAACTTTAAATTCATTAAAATGTTTCTTAAATTCCTATATACCACACTGGTGCTTAGCTGAGTAGTAACAGATGAAGGTTTTGAAGACAACACAGAGAAGTTACAAAGGGGCAAGCAGAGAGTGCCATAAAAAATGGGGGGAAAAGTTACAAATGAAAACAAAACTGCAAGAGCGTGACATTACTTCTCAGTCAATGCTGCAAATGTGGCCCAAGTTACAACAGAAAACATCGAACAGACACAGGCAGTTAGGCATGCAGACAAACTGATGGACGGTTAAGGAGACATTTTCTGTTTCAAGTGTGATTCTTGTTCTTCATAACCTCAGTAGACGCAGACATGGTGACAAAAAGATCCTGACACTTGTTTATTTTTCAATTGTTTTTTTTTTTTTGTGTGTGTGACACTTAACTTTTGCAAACTATTAAATAAAGTTAAAATGTGCCAACGACTGTGGAAGAATATTGGCTGCAAACACACAATTTAGTCACTTGAAACTGGAAAAAAATACAGTTATAAGTGCAGGACACGGCAGCAGGTATTCAGTTCTGCTCATCTTGAAGCATGAAGGAAAAAAAACACTGGAAAACGAAATAACCAGCGACTGTAACATAAAATCCCATATTTTTTGTATGCCAAAGACCCTAAGAAATATATTCACATCAGTAAACATTAATAATTATACTTTAAATGTTGTATACAATTGAATAATGTATCTGCCCAAACAGTAGGCAGTCAGACAAAAAAAAAAGTGTAATAAAAAATTCAGTACTACATTCCCATAAGTTCTGGCTTCTACAGTTCAGTAGTCTATATACCACCTCTGGAGCTACGTCTATTCGGTTCCAGGTCGTTACACATACTGAATTATCGTAGTCTAGCACATATTGTAGAAATACCTGCTGGACAAACTGTCAGGTGCAAGGGATAAAACATACTTAGATTCGCTGCCATCTGAAGCCATGATTAAACACAACATGAAATATTTTTTGGAACTACAACAAGGCTGTAATTTCTCACAGCACCTATCTGTGAGACATTCTGTGACCCTTGTTGTCATATAGCAAATACAGTGTATTTTCCTCTGGAGGATACCGACTCTACATCACATAAAAGATCCGATGTGCAGGAGGCACAAAGCTAGAACATCAGAGTAGGGCTGGGCGATTAATCGATTATAGTTAGGACTGCACCTCACTCCATTTGGCCATTTGTCTTGTGTTGTAAGTCCAGTGCACCACGTACTTTTACAGCGCTGTGCTCAGTGTTGCCAACTTGAGCTTTCAGACCCTCTTCACTTAATTTCTAAGTGAGCAACTAGCAACAAATTTAGCAACTTATTCAGACCATCAGGGGAAAAAAGAAAAATCAACTTTCAACTGTGTCGCGAAAGCCTATCAGCAGTGAGATCTGGTTGAGATTGTCTTAATGTTACCAAGAATCATAAATGGAGGACAAATTATTGTCACCATCTGTGGGCACCCAGAGCTCTATGACTCAGTGTTAGTACTGTGCAGACACAATCAAAAGAGGGGTCGGAGATTAGTGGGCGAATCTATAAGACTACAAAGTCCTGAAAATATGTTTTTGTGACTTGCATATGTTGAGTTGCTTCTCAGCAAAATGCTAAGTAATTTAAGTTGGTCTTTGATTGCGGAAAGTAAAGAGTGAAAGAAGTGAAGCAGGAATGCACTGCTCCGACACCACGAAAATACTGCACTGACTTCCTGTTACATTTAGAATTGATTTTAAGCTCCTCCTACTCGCTCGGGACCGAGCTACATTGCTAACTCCCTTGTTAACTGTTTGCCTCCAAGAACACTGCAATCATCTGCTGCTGGTTTATTGGAGGTTCCCAGCAACAGCCAGAAGATCGGGGATGCAGCCTTTGTCAATTATGCTCCAAAGCTATGGAACACACTACCTACAGATATCAGGGAAGCTAGCTCACTTAATACTTTTAAAAGAAAACTAAAACATATTGGTTCACTTGAGCCTTTAAGTAGCTCTGACTTAGTTGTACTTTACTACGAACCAGTTCAGCCATTCGATGCCATCCCTTGTCAGAAAGGGGAAAAAAATCTGCACTTGCAAAATACTCCAAAAAACACTCAAGGCAAAAAATTGCTGCGTGTTTGGTGCAAAACAACATAAAATAACAAAAGCACTTTTTTTTAAAACATAGTTAAGAATCCACCTACATCCTACACTAGTTTTTTTTAAAGTTTAATAAATGCCATAATTAAGCAGCCCTATATCAGAGTATCTTAGAAAGTTTAATTCTCAGCTGAAGTTACCCTGACCGACATCTCATATGCGGGACATCAATCCAATCATGATCTTATAATCTCACGTCGAGACTCCTGTGCCTAAATATTATTTTTCGTTATCCATTCTGACATCCTCATTAGGAGCACTTCCTTTTTATATATTCATGTGCAGAGACACTGGTGAGTTAGAGAAGGTGGAGAGAAGGGGGTGGAAAAAGGTCAACAGCTGAGCACCCCAATCTTTTTTCTTTTTTTTTGGTGTGTGAAAAGTCTCTTACTCTGTGGTTTTTCCATAGCTTTTTGCTTATCCTGGTGCTTGCTCCACAATTCTACCCAAGATGCATTGCAAGCAAGGAGAGAAAGACAGAGAGAGAGTCAGAGAGCTGGTTGAAAAGGCATGTATGGTGGATGAGCATTAAAATCAAAACAAAAACAAAATAAGCATTGAGAATCTGTCATTGTTCAATGGGGGTGTTTTGTAATGTTTGCATGTAGCTGCGCTTCAGTCGGGACAAATGCAAAAAAAAGAAGTATTTTGTTGTCAAGTTGGAGCCACAGTGTGAAACAGCTACTAAGGTAACATTACAACACACCCGGAGCTCCCAGCCCAAAGTCCTGGAGAGCCACACAGTGACGTCAGAATGAACTTGGGCTCTGACCACAGGCCGCACGTTTCATCGACTGCATTTGTCTGGCTCTCCAGAGCAAAGGTGAGAGACAGAGAGAGATGTGTGATTCGGAGAAGAGCGTGGGATGGGGTTGAGAGGCCGACTAGCCAGCAGGTGAAATGGAGCAGTTGCAGAAGCCGGGATGCAAGTCTCACAGCATACTGTAGAATTGAAGGTGCAACTTCTAACAGGAAGAGAAGGGGTGCGGGCAGGATAGGTGTCAGGGTGGTCGACTGAAGGCGTCCCCCGTATACAGACCCAGAATCATTCTCAGAAAATTAAAGAGATTATTAAGGATTTCTAAGTTAGTTGCTTCTTTGTGCGACCAATAGAAAATTTGTCTCTGTACTGGGACTGTTTACTGGGGAGTGTTGCTTCCACCCTCCATGCTGAGAGCAAAGGGAACTGCCATTTTCTACAGCACGCCTCGCAGAAAAACCTGCAGTAAAGGCACAGACGAGCACCGATTTTGACTATCGATGCGCATACCTCTGGTTTCCCTTGTCCGCTACTGCAGATTTAGGTTTCGGAAGACCAAAAGAAAGACATGCATTCAAGGTGCTAAGAGGCTGACAAACAGAAGTCCAGAGGGGAGGCAAACAGGGGCACAAATGTTCAAGGGAGGGGAGACAAACACACGCAGTCCAGGCTGGCACACAGGGAAATATTCCAGACACTTTGTAAAAGTATTTTAACCAGGGCCAAATTCTGAATTTAGATTTAAATATTTTCTCATTTTAAAAATCAAAACCAGACCTAAGGTTATAAGATTACAAGAGTCACTTTTCAGGTCAAAGTGTGTGGAATATCACCTGCAAGATTCTGTCAGGGACAAGTGAAGGAGTCTCTCTTTGAAACGGTTGGAGGAGGAGGGGGAGGGGGACTGTTATTAAGGTTGATGAGCTTGTAGGGGACGGGGGGAGGGGGAGGAGATCTCACAGTGCACATGCAACCGGGGCCGGAGTGGTGTACACACCAATCGAGGCAATAAAGTTCTCCTCGTTCAGACTCCGGGTGTCAAAATGGCGGGCTCCTTTGCCCGTTGGGTGGTGCGGCAGCTGCAGGTGGGGAACGTTCAGAAGGCCCTGAGGCCTGGTCGTCTCCATACGACCAGAAGGACTCTCTTTACTCCCCGGGCTGCCGGCACTGTCTGTGGGGCTTCGCTTGCGTTTTTCTGGGTCTACCAAGTTACCAAAATGAAGGGGCAAAGACAGAGTGCATCAACATGACAGAAAAAGAAAATATGCCGAGGTTTAAGCTGGGAGAGGATTAACAGTATTAGACAAAGAAGGAAAACATTAGATCAGACTTTACAGTTACAGTTAATGTTTAGCATGCAGCCTAAAGCTTAAGATCAACACAGTGCAGAGACATGGACAGGTGTTAGTAGCACAGGCCTGCTGCTGCTGTTAAGCACAAAACGTCTGACACACTTTTAATGATGTACTCTGTATTAATCACACAATCCAGCATGATATGTGTGCATTCCTGTGCTGACCTGTGTACTGGACATACCTTTGGTTTGATAATGTGTGCGCGCTATTTCCAATAAGCTGAAGACGCTGGCCATTCCCCCGAGGCCTGCGTTAGTGTACGAGTGCTCCAGACTGGAGACGGTGCACTTCAAAATGTCCAGCATGCCTTTGTACACCTTTCTGCTCACCTCCTGGAAACACAGAAACAGGACAACAGGAACAATTTGTTAAGTAGGGCCATATGAAGAAAGCTGACTTGACATTTTCTTGAATTTAGTTTTAAGTCGAAGTCCCCCAACACTAAGTTGGTCACTTAACTGTGACCAACTTAGTGTTGTTAATGTTTAGGGTATCAAGTAATGCCTACTATACAGTAGAAGACTTTGAAAAGATTCGGAGACCCTCTTACGTCAAAAGACAATGTGAGTTTTTAGTCACACACAATAAGACTTTACAAAAACTGGGGATCTCGCAGGGTCACGATTTGCAAGACTACAGCCGGACTCCTGAGATTTTTTCTCATTCCACTAAATATTACGCAAAATATGACATTTTAACAATTCTGTAGATTGAAACCTTGATTAAATTAAATCAAATTTGCCTTATAAAAAACACTAAAAAATCATTTTCAAATGAGCCACTGCCAATAAAGACTAAAAATAAATAAAAAAGTAATTACAGCAGTCGTCCAAATGTTTTATTCATGTCTTTTATTCCTGGGCTTGTTGTTAATGATGTGTATTTCCTAGAACATCAGTTCACAGCGTGGAGGGAAAAGAAAAGCATCTCACCACATCACGTATGATCTCCTGTCTGGCATCTTCCTCCGACTGGACAGCTCTGTTCAGCTTACTCAACACGAAAACACGAAGCTGCTCGTTCTCCAAAAGGCGGCGCACTTTCTTCATGTTGAGCCAGCCAACTCCCTGACCATCCAGAACACTCTGCACCACCTCCTTCAAGAACTGCTGGTTCTCACTGAATCAGAACGAACACAGTGTCAGTCACGTTAAACAGATACAGCATTAAAACAATAAATACATGTTCTGACAATGCACTCTGGTCTTTGTAAGGATTCGTTACCTGGTGTTGTTGACTCGACCCTGAGGAGAGGGTGACTCTCTCTTCACTGTTGGACTGTGCTTGATTACGGAAGACTTCTGGTCCACAAGTGCTCGAGGTGCACGTGCACCTGGAACAAGAACCAAAACAGTGAGGTGTCTGAACGCCACAGAGCAACATCACCAAAATAACAAAACAAACACTGCAAACTACTGGGTCACTACACAGAAGAGCACTCAGTAGAAGTGGACTGGACACACACAAACGCACCAGGAACTGTAAACCAGGTCAGGAAACATCTTTAGAACTAGTCTCTTTTATTTTAAAGCTACTACATCAAATGGAAAAGAGCCGTTTGCATCACTCTGTGACACCTGGAATCTACTGAAGGTTATCTACTGCTGAACAGACACATTACTGGGGCTGCTAGAGTCTATTATAACAACAAGGGAGGTGAAGGGCAAATCAAACAAGGGACATGACACACACACGCACACACACACACACCACACACACAGGAGTCCAAATGGTGCTCTTGGTGGTGGCATCACACATTAGCAGCATATTGATGTGAGGTCAGACAGAGGATAGTGAGTACAGCAACTACATCAGTGATATCATGCATGAAAGAAAATAAAGAGGTGAGTGGATGGAGAGGAAAATGAGCTACACTACATCGTCACTAGGTGAGTTATTTAACTAAGGCTGCTGCGGTGCTCTGGGATGCCCAGCACCTGCGAGTGAACCACTTATCGGGGTTGGGTCAATCATTTTAGCTTTATATTACAATAAAATCATTACAGAGGCTCAAAACATTTAGGCAAGTCCATTTATTTTCTCACTCAATTGACTCAAACGAATACATATGAGACTTGAGTCTGAACCACTGCAACATTTAATGAAGCTGCTCGTTAATGAGTGTCATATATTGGTGCAGAAGTGTGTGTTTTTTATGCCTTAGAGATGCTGTGGATTTCTCACACTGCTATTAATAATCTCAAAGATGTTCCAGGATAAGTTAAACTCCCCTGATGTGAATTTTTTCCCTCATATTTAAAGCTGGGCAGACAATGTGTGTTTTTGTCGACTGTGTACTTGTGTTTTCTCACGCTGCATGTTTTAATCAGCGTTTCTGCGGGGCTAGAACCTGCAACTTCTTTGACCAGGGTCGCAACTCTTTAGTTGATAGATTTCAAAGACTTTTAAGCTCTTTCAGTGACAAATTACTTCAACATTAAAGGGTAACTTTGGTATTTTTTCAACCTGGACTCTGTTTTCCCACATGTTTGTGTCTGAGTGACAAATTGGAACAACAATTTTGTTGTGGCAACAGGCTGCAATGTAATCAGTTGGGGCAATTGCGCACCCTAAATGTATGTCCACTAAAAGAGCTTGTTTTTGTCACGGACAGACTCAGATTATTCTTAAGTGTCTAACAACATTAAGGAAAAGATCCTAACAGAGACATACCTAGCGCTAGCTAGCGAGTTCTGTTGGCTTGTTTTAGACAATGGAGGAAGATGATGCGAGTGGTGCATTCAGAAATACTCATTCAGAATGTTGGAGTGCAATCTGGCACAAACTAGACCATTTGTAAATTTACAGCGCTGTCTGAATGTACCGTTCGGTTATCCAGAGCTCTGCATTCTCAGAATGTCAGAGCGCACTCTAGTCACTCTGTCTTTGAAGACGGAACAGCAAGTACACACAGACCAACGGGAACAGACTGGCCGACCCGTATGCTCTCACTCAGTGGATGGATGATGTCACAGGAAGCTTTGTGGTTGACAATTATGCCAATCTTACAAATGAGGACGGCACTTGAACGGTTTCCTCCAGTCTGTTTTGCAATCAAAGCTAACGTTGCGCTTAAAAGTTAGCATTACAGAGAAATCCAATATTCCTCCTAATACCTCCCCAGTTTCTGATGAGGTGGACATAACCCTTAATACACATAACGTTATTCATCCCTACAACAGGAAATACTTTTCCCCTAACCTGATATGAAGTGTGCGTTGCACATGTGAGCATTTTTGATGATAGCCTGTTCTGCCTCAAGCTAATAAAACGAGGTCATTGTGACATCTGCCTTAAAAGGTCTATACTGGACCAATGTAAAAGACTGTTGTTGCAATTAGTCACTTGGGCACAAAAATATGAGAAAATATGGTCCAGGTTGAAAACTACCGAAGTTACCCTTTAAGGATTAATAAGTCACATAAACGCTCATATATGAGTTTATGTGATGGGCAAATGTGAATTATTATTAGTTACCTGACGCAGCCCTGACAGNTATACACACCAGTCTAAAAACATCTAAAAAGTGCAGTCTGTTTAAAGCTTATGACAATCTGCCAAGAATACCTTGCTGAGCAGGCCCTTGGCAAGTTACTACTATAGTAAGCTATATTTTATACAGTACTGTATTATTGTGTATTTTGATTATACACAGTACAGTAGTCTAACTTATTTTCTACAGTAATCTGAAAAGCATTTAAATCAGCTGTGGTGTATTTTAAAATAGTCAATAAAATTCAGTAAATAGCAAAGCTGTCCAATTCATTACTTTATATTTATGAAAAGAAAGAGGGTACTCTGCAAATAAAGAAAACAAATGGTTATAATAATCATCCACTTTTCTTGATCAGTTTGACCAGAACAGAAGTGATTACTATAAGCAGTTTCCACCGTATACAAAAACATAATGTCACAATTTCTTAAAAATTGTTTGTTTTTTAACATGACATTAACATCTAAATACACTGCAAAACGTTGAGAGTTAAACAGCCAACAAAGTTTCATACTCAGAGATTCCAGTCGGCTAAATCAAAGCACTTCCAAGTACTTTCCAGACCTGTGGTAACTCCTCCTCCATTATACGGATCAACTGACTGACCCCAGCGTAAAAAGCGAAGCCCCTCGGGTCAGTGTGGCACATTGACAACTCCAATAAATGTTGACAAAAAGACAGAAGAACAGCTACTTTGTGCAAGTCCACTATGACCAGAAAATAAGGTAAAATTCGCATTAGCCGCAATTTAATATGTGCATGCATCCATTCATGCACACACACACACACACACACACACACACACACACACAGAAACACTTGTCACTAATATAATAATGCCTCACTACAACTGTTTTCTGAGTTATGAAAGGGGACGTGACAAAATAGTGTGTGTGTCTTTCTATAAAGTTTGGTCACGTTCACTCTTAGCTAAAGGAAAATAGAGAATGTTGTAATCATTTTTCAGGACATTTTACTTTAATTTTTCATGACTTTTGACTCATGACTGGAGAATTGTTTAACTGTTTTCCAGGTTTTCAAGGATGTGTGGGAACCCTGAGACAATATGGTGACTGTTGTGCAGTGAAGTTCAGTTTCAGATCACAGATATATATCACACACTACATAAAACACTGCATCAGTGATATCAAAACAAGCTCACTACAGTTAGTAAAGGCTCAGCAGCCATGCGGTAAATCAGACCATGTAACTGCTCAAACTGCAAGACAGCCAACCTAAATCTTAGACATGCCGGGAATCCAACCACTCATCCGACAGCTCATTACATAGACAGATTTATCTGACAAGATCTAAAACAGGTTGATTACGATGACAGGCTCCATATAAGATCTTTCAAATTATCGAGGATTAAAATAAACAGAAAAGTCTTCGGGCTTATTTTCATTATTCCCATTGTAGTCCTCGATCATTAAAGTAATTAATCAAACATTGTGAGCTCCCCTGCATGTCAAACATCGGTATAGTGACTGCCCAAGACCCTTTGCACCTGTTGATACAGCTTATTGGTTCAATGATAAAATAAATCCTAACCTGATCAAACTCAATCTCAGGATCCATGGGCTGTCGTTCTGACAACAATAAGCCTTTGGGGGCAACGGCCAATATTTGGAGTTCTGGTGTAGCCAGCCAATATGGGGCCCAAGACTTCCTCTTTTGTGTGCCTGTCATTTTGGCTAATCTCTTTGAGTAGATATCTGTATATGAATGCAGATTAATTAAAAAAAAAAAAAGATTATATGAAGCTAAAATGTCATCAGATGGCGGCTGATGGGTTCCGACACTGCACTTGGGCCCCTGCTTTCCGCCTCTTCATATAGACTGCCTTCCAGCCACTCTGATGTGATTGATCAATACTGCCTGAACGACAAAGGGGCTGAACACATGCCACGTTTTCTGCGCCCTCAAATTCATCGATTTCAATGTAGATGTGCGGCAGGTGCACTCAAGCACCAGAGCGACGGCTGCGCCCTGAGAGAGACAGAATTCAACGTTTGGAACGCAGCAGTGTGTAGCGCATGTCATATGATGAGAAACAACCAGTCACAGCCAACAGATATCTTTCCCTGATTCTGTCGATATCAGTCTGTGATAAATACGGGAAAGTTGATCATTTTGGTGCAGAGCTGCCAGAGCTTTACATCTGTCCCACGGATGATAGCTCCTGGTAGAAGATCAGCTCTGCACTCAGGATTTCAGGTAAGTGCTTGTTAAGGTTGCTTAGCAACTTCAGACGCAACCTGCCGCCACGCTCTTAAAAGCTGGCTCAAAAAAGGCACAAAAGTAGCACCCAGCACCTGACCTCGCATTTTCCAGGCCTTAGTTTCCAGGCTCAGCATGTGTATGGCCCCAAAGTGGAAAGCAGAACTATTTCAACGACAAAATCTTGTTGCGTCCAGTTGCCTGTAGATTCTATATACATATTCAGATACCTGTTAAGAGTCTCACAAGCCTGAAACTCATATGGTCAGGCCTAATGGGGTTTAGGTTCAGTCAAAGTTGAAAGAAACATGTAAAACAATACACAAAAGATGCGTTCTATCACCACAATATTCTTTCTGCAACCAAAGATCATACACAAATGCAGCATGTTTAAGAGCTGTTTAAATCCTACCAAACTTTGTCAGGTGGCTGAAAATTACAGGTTGTCTGAGCACAGAAATCTGCAGCTCTCCTACCCTACACTGTGATAGGTGCGTGTAGGGAGTACGTCCTGACCTTCACACCACAAATACAAAGACACATCTGACTGTAAGATGAACTCACAATTTCTCCATTTTGTGACTTGTAGACTTTGTTTCTGAGGCATGAAAGGATGAGGG